TGGTTTATTTATGAATGTTGCTGAATATTTTAAAGAAAATGATTATCGAACAGTAAGTTTGAATAAAATGAAAAAGTGACAAAGAAAAACAAACATAAGTTAATGAATTATTATTTTATTTAGATAAATGATCGTCATATTGTTAAAATTCATCCAAGTTCAGTATTATTTGGTGCTAAACCTTCATTAGTTGTTTTTACTGAATTAATTCAAACCACTAAACGATTTATTCGGTAAAAAAATTTTCTTTTGTTTTTTCTGTATTTTTTTATTAAATTATGAATATTTATATTTTAGAGATATAACAGTAGTTGAACCGGAATGGCTCCTAGAAAGTAATCCGGATTATTTTAAAACACGTCTTTCGTCTAAGTAGGTTTTTTTGTTCTTATACAAATCGGTGATGGATTTGTGATTTGTTTATTAAATAAAGACAATAAAAAGATTAGAAAAAGAAAAAAGAAATCTCTTTTTTTTTGTTTTTAATTATCATTTTTTTCTAATGTAATTAATTCTTTATCATGAGCACCTTGTAAAAGTAATTCTGATGAATAACTAATTACTTTACGACGTTTAGCAGCTTTTAATGTTCCAGCTAAACTTTCAAATGTATTTTGAACTTCATCATTACGAAATAAATCACCAAATGTTGTTTCATATTTACCAGTTGAAGAATTTTGTTTACCAATTGAACGAATAAAATTAACTAATAATGATATTTCATGTTCGACTTGAGCTGTATTAGCCATCTTTGAAATAATATGTTAATAACAGAAAAAAGTTTATTCTATACTATTATTGGTTTTATTCGTCCTATGTTAGTAAGACTAACTTGATTTATCTAATATCATCAGACATCTCATGATGTCGCCCTTAGTCAATGAACATGCAATCTGTGAATTTTAATAAAAAAGAAACCAGGAACAGTATTTAAATGATATTAAATAATAAATCATGCATTAGTTCAAATATATAATGAAGAAAATAAAGCTTGTAATATGAAGTAGAGCAAAAAAAATTCAGCACAATTTTTATTTTTAATACTCGCTCTCAAGTACAATTTGCTGAAGATAATCAAATAGTGATTTCAAAAGCTCTTAAAGAAATCTGCAAAACTGAGAAACGAATGGTTCTTTTTACCTCTTACGCTATAAAAAATTTTCTCCGACGGAGAAAAAGCTGAATACATTTTTAATATTGAGTCAAATTGTTCGTTATTCAACAATAAATTAAAGGTTTTTTTTTTTATATATCATTCATTGTAAAGTTTCACCGTCTAGATTTTCATAAATAGCATTTTTGAAAAATCATTACTTTTCATATTAATTATTAATAATTGAAATTTATGAAAAACTGAACAAACCTATGGGAAATATTTTTTCAAAATGAATTGTCTGACGAGGGAATATTGTCAACTGATCAATCGCTTTCACAACAAAAGCTAGGGAATTATAAGTTATCGATTATATTCATTTTGAATATGACTATAAAATATTTCCATTAGGTCTTTATATGCCGATTTTCCAGAAGAATAAACTTTTCGCCAGAAATTATTTTTGTTCCGTCCAGACTATCGAACGTAACAAATTGTCTTGGAATCACTAACTTTTTCTGTTTAAAATCTTTTCTTGTTCAGAAAATAAACAAAAGATTATTGTCTATAGACAAATCAATATGCTCTATAATGTGAGTAGATCCAAAACGATTTAGGCAAAACATTTGTTAATCTAGAAAACCAGCAGATGGGGACCTACAAGGATTTCTCATGGTCATATTCAGAATTAGCATGATCGATAACTGGTAATCTAGTAGCTTTCGATAAAAAAATGATTGATCAGTTGGAAAAAACGCTGAGTGCCTACAATTTTGTCGAATACAAAAAATGTCGATCGCAAATTTATCGAATTCGACAAATTTTATTAAAAAATGTCGATTATTGTATTGTCAAGCTTTCTTTCGATGAATTTTAAATTCAATTATAATCACCTGAAATCTGACTTGAAATCAACTTGAAATTAAGTTGAAATCAAGCTAACCCTTTACCCCTATAACGGTTCCAGAAGAACCACTGATAACATAACTTTATAAATAGAGTATTAGCCTGTCGAATATGCCAATGATGTAGCCTGATTTACCGAATGTCCTGTTCCTGTAATGGGGCGGTTTGATTGATGTAAAAATCATATGGTCGAAAATGGGAATTGAATGACATTACAAGACTTAATTTTTTTTTCTTTGACCACATTATTGACTGGACAGAGGCAGCATCTATCTCATACTGTTGAAATGATAGGAAAAACGCAACGAGTGAACCGACAAAAATTAACATCAAAGATTGCATGCTTTTTTTTACACCTATTGTCAAATTTAAGCCTATTTTCCTCTGAGCCATTTTGTAACGTCTGAAGGAATTTAATTCATCATAAATACTATTTCGACTTCTCATGAGTTGAGGTTTATAACGCATATATTAACTTTGTTCTTGATTACTCTTCATCCGTCTAACAGTGGCTACATGATCGATTGTGTTCCTTAGTATGTATAATTCGCGAAGTTATCATGAAGCTTTCGAAACACATCTAATTCAGCAGTGGATATCTTCATCGGTTAATATCAAACAGAAGTTCTAAACGATCTCTATCGACTGCAAGTAGAGAACATTTTATTTAAAAAGTTTCGAATTTTTGCATTTTTTTCAAAATTATCGATTTTGTAAGTCACATATCTCGAAGGCAGAACAATGAAACAAAATACTTTTTTTACCAATCGATAGCTTGTGAAGTTCCTTACAAATAATGTTTTGGAATTTTTTCAGTCTCATGCTTCCTTTACCTTCTGTGATCGTTCTTCAAATGGGTCATATATGACCCTTTGGGGGGTAAAGGGTTAATTTCAATTTGATTCCAACTTGATTTCAACATGATTTTAACTTGATTTCAAGTTGATTTCAAGTCAGATTTTAGGTGAGTATAATTGAATTTGAAATTCATCGAAAGGAAGCTTGACAATACAATAATCGACATTTTTTAATAGAATTTGTCGAATTCGACAAATTTTATCGATAAATTTGCGATCGACATTTTTTACACTCGACAAAATTGGTGTTTTCCAAAACGCTTTCTCGCAAGTGAGATTTTCAAAATATTTTTAATAGACATAGTCTTTGATTATATTTAAAAATTTCAAATATAAGACAAAGCTTTCTTTTTGGAAAATGAGCGCGTTTTGAAGACCAACAATTGTAATTTCAAACAAGATTTTCTCCTTCTCAATACAGTGATCCATCCAAATGTTTTAACTTCTCGAGTCTCAGAAGTAATTTGAGTGACAATGCCCAGTCATTTTCTATACCTTTTTTCCCATTCCAAATTTTGGAAAGTCTACAATGATGCTCGTATAAATAGATGTGGATCCTACTGAGATAATTCATTTTGAAATAATATTTTTCACAGTTTTGTTCTAAGTTTTAATTATTAAAAGTTTATATTAAACTAATATTTTAATTTAAAAGGTGATGATTCTTCAAAAATTATGTTTATCAAAATATGTTCCATGCAATTCTGCACTCAATGGTATATAAAAAAAGCTTTAAGCTATTATTGAATAAGAAAAAATTTGACTAAATAATAAAAATGTGCTAAACTTTACTCCCCTACTTTACGACGTCGTTTATAATAGTCTACTATTCAAACGTTACTGTGTGTTTGATGTATCATAAAACATATGTTGTTAATAAATTTTTTTTTTTGTTCAAGAAAATAAACAAAGAACAAGCATTCGCTCTTAATTGATTCTATACTATTGACAATAGCGATGAATTCATGCAATGTAAAGAAGACTATTGGTAACTAATCAAATGTTTGCTGATACATAGAAAAAATGAAATTATTAGATAATAAATTACTATATTGTTCTGTTCATGAAAGAAACAAATACTTATCATATTAATCATGTCTATGATAATAATTGACTTAAATAGATATATATGAGAGATTACGAATGCAAAAAAAAACGGAGCGTATGCTCTTTGTAATCTCTTGTTTCCAATTGAATAGTTTCATCTCTATTACATAATTATTCTGCATCAATTATAACGATAATTGTTTATAATGATTTATTTATTGAGAAGATATTATAATATTTGTAAAAATTTAACCTTGAGTTTATAATCTATTGATCTTATTCATATTGAAGCTTGAATTTATCTGATCAATGAAAATTGAAAATCTTTTTTGTTTTTTTTTCTAATTGATTCATTTGATAATAGAATATTTCTATTAAACTTCTTCTTGATGTGTTACATTTTTTAGTCATTTCCATTGAAGAAAACATATAATTACTATGAAGCAACCCATTAAGAAGGTCCTCTAAAATATCGAGAGTGAAGAATTAGTGATGATGTTAATTGATTATCTATGAACGTCACTCATGTATCTAGGGAAATTTCATTAAGGGTTCCAAATAGTTAATCGATTCCATCGGCCTTACTAGCTATATTACTTAGTAAATTCCCTGAGGTTCATCAGATACTGTTTTCTACATTCAATCGATTGTTACACACGCATCCTATATTCATTTCTTCAAAAAAAAAGTATGTTCATAGTAAAGAAAAAAACAAACTGAAAAGCACGATCTTTTTTGCTTTTGTCCTACAATGCAAAAGTCTGCATATTGATAAAATTGTCTTATTTAATTAATACAATAAAAATTATCAATTAAATAACAATGTAACAACGAGAGTCTTATATATTAATTGAAATGCTGAAAAATCGTGAATCAAATAATAGACAACAAGTAAGTAGCTTTTATCATGTGTCTTGATGAGATTTAATTATTTTTTTTCTCTTTGCCTTTGCTACTTGAACCGACAGGCGAACTCACTCTTCCGATTCCATCATTTTTTTTTTTATTATGTTAGCTTTATTATCGCCTTTTCTTAATGTCATTTCAAGTCTCTATCTTATACATCACGCTCTATCGTATTTTATTAATCAAAAAATTTAATATAAAACTTCTTCAGCTTTAGGAAATATAAGTGTAAATGCTTCATAACCAACACCATATGTATACATAGATAATTGTTTATCTGATGGAATTTCTTTTCCATCAGTATGAAATTCAATTAATTCAACAAGTGGTCGAAACCATCCACTACATGATGGTGTTATTTTTAAATAGATATTTTTATCATTTTGTTCATCAAGAGGTGATTGTAGAAGTGTTCGAAAACTTGATGGTATTATTATACTACTCATGGGAAAACAATAAAGCCGTGGTCGAACTCCAATTGTACAAAAAGGTTCATTATTTTCAGGCAAAAAAATTTTTACATAAGTATTATTATCATTCCAACAAAATCGAGCTAATTTTTTTGGTACACTCCAATTACGTCGTCCATTAATTACTGAATCCATAGATGAGACATAAATTTGTGAAATACGATAATATGTCGTATTACCAAATTGATAAGAACCAGGAATAAATAATAATTCATCATAAGGACCTACTGGTGAATTAGTATAACGTATAAGCGCCATTCCACCCATACCACCACGAAATGGACTTCGAATAGGATCAGGATTTTCATTAAATTCTTCTTGAATTGATCGTGATCCATGAACAAATAGATAAGCTACTTGACCATTCAAAGTCCATGGAGCTGGAGCATCTTTAATATTATCCATATTATCTGCCATAATTCTTAGTTAATGATAAGTATGTTTATCATTACTTGATAAACAATATTTGCTTTTTTCTTCTATCATAAAATAACAACGTAGCAACCTTTCATAGCAAAAGACAAATTATGACAGTAAAGTGGTGCCCTCATCAGGAGAATATCTCTAGAATACATATTAAATAAGAAAAATTTTTAAATACAGTTATATTCTATTTCTAGTTGAATGATTTTATTCATAGAAGAAAAAATTCTATCATTATTAATCTTTTTTCTTATTCATTTATAAGTTGATCTGTTGTTCACATATATATAAATATATAGAATTTTGTTTAATATATGTAATTGATATATTTTTAAAGATAAGTATATTGACTGAACACTTCATATTCATGTTCAAGAATTAATATTAAAACTGAAATAATCAATCAATCAATCTGTCTCGAGACGACAACAAGCGTTGGTAGTATTGTTAGTACGTCATCACACACTTTATAAGGCAGAGCGATCATCAATATTAAACGAACTACAATAACAGCATTGGTCCAATTAGCTTTAGTGCGCCGTTGTTACAAACAAAAGGAAAAAACTAGAAAAAAAAGAACGAGAAAAGAATATCGCCTTATTATTATTCTTTTTTTTTTCTCTTTTTATTTTGTATTGAAAACCGAGAGAGCGAGAGAAACAACATGCACATGACATCTCGCCCGTCGGCTCACTCATTCAATGACTAGTCGTATAGTCCTATAAAGAGAGAGAAAAAAAAAACTTGCTATTACTACTGTTACTACTATTATTGAGCATAGTGCTGCTTACTCATACAATACAGACCAGAGATCATCAACGCATAACAAAAGTTGTAGCATCAGCAAAATGATCAAGATGAAAAGAACGAGACAACTGCCCTTTTTCTTCTCTTCTTCGTCCGTCTCATAATTGTGTTTGGTGCATTCCGCTCATCATCGTCGTTTCGTGATCCATCGACGCGAGTAGCTCAACGACACGTCACACACACACACACATAAAATTGCTTGGTTAGATAGAACGATAAACAAGAAGCTTTTTTTTTCTTTATTTGTCCCTTATCCAAAGTAAGTAGACAAATTTTTCTTTTTCTGATATACATATCAAAATTCATCTATATTGCTGCCGGTTTTATACATTAACTATAATAAATGAGAAAATAATATTCTTATTTAGTATGTTAGGAAGAAACACAAGAAAAAACTGTTTAATATATGAGACAGGAAAATAATATTTGTATGATTTAAACAGATGATTTGGTAATCGGATGTTTTATGAACTTGTGAAAGAATGATGTCTTTTATTCATATAGACATTTGTATCAATTTTGATAGATGATTTCTATTATTCTTCAATTCAAGCTCAATAGAAAAACGATAATTCGCATGATTTCTATGATGTTTTCTTTCCTTCAATACTTATACATGTAAATCAGACATAATCGCTATTGATCAAACAGAAGATGCTCCCTTCTCTATAATGAGAATATATAGTTATATTGAACTATCACACATTCCAATTAGTAGTACTTGATCGATAAATAGATTGGGGCAAGATGATGTGTGCTAGTTATTGAAATAGCAACAACAAGAAAAAGATGTATTGATTAATCCTTGATGAGTCTTTTTTTCTTGTTAGGCAATAACATCATATTTTATCTAAATAGCACCGAAAAATATATGTTTTAATATCGATTTGCCTCTCAACCAATACAGCTGGAGATATCTTAGTAATATAGAAAGGCATTGATAATATCGACTAGACACCATAAAAATGAATAATTGTAATCAGAAAAACTGAATATTATATAGAAAAATATATAAACGGATGCATGTAAGTTTCCTTCTAGTTTTCTTTCTTTTACTATGTAATATTGTGATGAACTATGTTTCTCTCGCGTGCAGTTCGGATGTTTATTCTGGCGTTCCTATTTTTCTCTCTGATCTTATTCTAGCATGATGAATCTCGCATATGTGTGTTTGCATGTATGCAGTCAGGGTGTTTGAGCCGCAAAGAAAAAAGGTGGAGAAGAATGAGAAAAGAAAAAGAAGAATCTCGATAGTTTACTAGCAATAATGTTTTACCCCGATGGGAATCTGCTTAAGTGAAATAAGGCGGCGTAAGAAACGATCGTCTCTTTTTTTTTTACTTGCTATATAATTGCCATAGAATTTCTGTTACCTATATATATACATATATATATATGTATTCATTAAAAATATTAATCGTTGTAAAATGATCACGTAAGCAAATATATAATCAATATTTCTTATCCGATTAGTTTCCGATAGAATTTTTTTTTTTGATATTTAATCTATAATATTAAAAATCGATCTTGCTCGAAAATCTAAATTAGTCAATGGGGACAATAATAAATCAAAAGCAGAAAGAAAGAAAAAAGCCGAGTGTTTTTTTTTTTTATGTTTGTAAATGACAATTTGCTTTTGTTAATTTATTCATAATATTCAAGGAGAATTTTTAATGCTATTCTTTTTATTTGTTCAGGATGTCAAGATGGGCACTGCCGAATCGTCTCAATCGTCCGAAGTCGGTGGTATCGGTGGCGGTTTTAATAATCATTCATCATTTCGTAGACAATCACCTAATGTTGCTCGTTTAATACGTGGTGAAAATTCACAAAAAATGGAATATGAATTTCCAATATCGGACGTTAATACGACGAATTCCGGACATTATCAACATCATAGTGGTGGAACTAGTAATCATATGATATTAAGTGGAAAAACTAATAGACATATTACTGATCAACAAATAATAAATCATAATGATAATCTTTCATTACATACAAAAATTTCTTCAAATGAAACATCGAGTTTATGGTTATCATTAACAAGTTGTTTTGGTTGTCGTACACGTAGATCAAATTCTTCAACAATGAATCCATTACGTGATAAAGTACATGCAATACGTATTGTTCGAGCATCAAATGATTTAACACCAGCTGTATTTGATTCACATTACAATATTATAACACTTGAACAATTACGTGAATGTGACAATAATGGAAGTGGAAATCTTAATGATTCATCAAATTCAACAAATCCAAATGATATTGATTCATCTCATAATGGTAATGGATCAATATCATCAATAAAAAATGAAAATAATCGTCGAATAAGAAAAAAGAAAAAAAAACGTGCAGCCGCTTATGCAGCTCGAACAATGACATCGGATGATGATGATACATATGAACGGACGCAAGAAAAAGGTATATGAGAAACTGCTGGTCGGTTACTCATCTTTATTTAGTCAGAAAAATAAAAAGTATGGTTATTTTGTGTGGTGATAATTGGTTAATACCCGTGCAATTGAATTTAGCATACGGCAGTATTCGGTTTTCTTTTTGTATAATTTCTCTTGCGCTTTTTGTTTTTTGAAATTCTGTGTTCAGTTTTGATGTGTATGTTTTTCTTTTCTCTACTTCTTCATTTTCCTTTTCTCTCTTTTTTTTCCTCTCGTTGCTTCATACATATTGTACTTATCAAGTAAGAACTATGAATGGAAAAATCAAAAATGAATTTTTATTGATAGAAAAGAAAAACAGAGAACAACGATGATACGTAAATCAAATAGATTCATGCAAATTGAAATACAAGAGTATTCAGAAAAAAAAACAACAGATTTTCTCTGTCTAACAAACTGAGAGTTTCATGCATTGATTCATTTTGAACAATAAAAGAAGTACAAAAAAATTATGAGGAATGCTATTTTAGGACTAATATTCTATTTAAAGTATATAAAAAAAAAAGTAGTTACTAGATAATTTCAACCAAAATAGAATAGATATTCATGAGCTAATGTTAGACTTCAATGACTAGAAAATTTCACATTCCTAAAAATTCTAAACGACTCTTTTATGACTAACCATAGTGCCATTGACATGCAATAACTTAAATTGTCTCGTTCATAATTAATCAATTGAAATTTGTTTCGGATAGACATTTTAAAAAAATCAAGACTTCTTAGCATTGATAAAGTAATATTTGCATGTTCAAAATAAATAAAAAAAACAAGAATTTTTCTAATCGGAACACTTGATTTTATTTGCTGAAGAATTTCACCATCTTCAATTTTGAATAAGTTAGTATTGATTTGATTATTACACACACACACACACACACACACACAAACATTTTTTTTTAATTATTACTTTGATATAATAAGACTATATGGTAATGAGTGAATTCTATATTAAGAATATTGATGAAAGATGCATTCAAATAAACCATAACCTAAATATATTGAAGAAAAATAAATATATGCTATTTTAAGCTCATCTATTCATCTAGGTTAGATGCACATTCATTTGTATGAATAATCACAAATGAAAGTCAGATCTCTAGAGAAAATGATCAAATAATTGCAAATCATGTAGGAATATTGGAGATCGAATTATTTTATTGTCGAAGATTTTTATTGTGTTTTTAAATTGTAATAATAATTGAGAAAGTCGAGTTTAATCAATAAGAAAATTATTCAAAAAAAAATTTTTTTTATTATGATATTATCAAAATGAATAATATAAATCTAAAAGAAAAAAAGATTGTAGAAAATTTCTTTATTTTCCTTTATTGTAAAATATTTTATCGCTAAATTAATTGTTTTCCCATTATCGAGTTATGAAATGTTTGATTAAATATGCTCTATTGAAGCAAAACTAAGTACAAAATCAAATAAGATTTTAGAATCATTTTATTTCATTAGCAATACAAATGGAAATGAACATGTCGAGTCTAATAAAAAATTTTTTATAGGTCAACTATTTACAAGCAATTAATATTCTGCGTAGATTTATTTTTATTAATTCTTTTTTTTTTTGTTTTTTTTTTCTTGATTGAAAATAGAAATATTATTTTTGACAAATGAGTATAGCTTTGTCGTACTTGACGTCAAAATTGTTATGTATTGTAAGGAAATAACATTTTCCTCTTAAGTATTGGACAAGTGACTATTGTCGAATGTTAATGGATTTTTTTGTCACATATTCAGAAATGCATATGAAGACTCTTATACGATATATTGAGAAGTAAAATAGATTGAATTTCATTTGAAATTAAAATTTTATGTCTAATATTTGATGTACAAAAAGATAAAAAACTCACTCAAGACAAAAATGAAAATTTAATATAGACAAGGAAAATATGACATATAAAAGTAATTTATATTAACAATAGACAATCATAATAAAATTTTCAATTAAATAGTACAATATGACTATAAACTTTGAATTAATCTCATTTCATATTGTTCCGTGTCTTTATTTTTGTGATTTGATATTTATTATTACTTTGCATAGAAAAGCAACATTTTCTTTTAATTCTTTATTCACAAGAAATTTTCAGAATGTTCTTGAGAAATTCGAAGAAACAAAAGAGATTTTATCTTACGAAAGAAGTATTCCAGTTAATTCCGACCTTTGGACTTCCCCTTTTAGCTATAATTAAGTTTCAATGAGACTAGCAAAAAAGAAACTAAAAATATTTCTTTCAGAAATATGGTTAACGTTATGATGAAAAAAAGGCGGTTTTTTTTCAAGTTATTACACATCCATTATCCTAATGATACTATTTTGATCTTAACAAAACTACGGAATCGTAATAGTATTAATAAATTAGTATCATAGATTTACTTCTAAATAAGTGTACTTCAATTTCTCAAACTCATTAATTCTAAAGGATATGCAAATGAATGCTTACAGTTTCATCTAGAAAAGTTTTCAATGCTGGCAAAACTTGCTTTCTGCCGACTCGTTTCTATATAATGAAGAGAAATGTTGAATTCTTCGTTTGATCTGTTATTTATAGTGTCGTAGGTTGTGATGTTTTCGTCACTTTCAGTTATCTTTTTTTCTCATATATCTTACTTACTTATTGTATAATTTTTTCTTTGACACATTAAAGATATTGTCAAAAATTAGATTTCTAACTAGTACAGCTTTTATCATTATTCTCAGGTTATTACGATAACATATGAATAATAATCAAAATAAATGAAAAGAAAACAAACGTCCTTCTTTCATTGTAACATTAATTATATTTCAGCAACGGGAAATCTTAAACACAAATGCATTTGTTTGTTTGTTTCTTCATCTGATTGAGACCTACTTATAATCAAATGATAAAGTCCAATATCTGCAATCATTTAGAGTACCTTCTTTGATTAAATACAAAAGAAAAACATGTGTACAAAAAAAAAGAAAAGAATATTTTATCTAATCTATAAAATATGTCACCATGATTGTCATAGGAATCAAGATATCTTTTTCCTCTTACGTTATTTGTACAATTGCAAAGTATTTATGGTCGACTGAAAACAACATATAAGAAAGATAAATACGTATATAAATACTGCCTACGTTCTTCTTAAGAAAGGTTACATATGTGATTATGAAGCAATTCTGATAATAACAACAGCATCAAATCTTTTATCAACTATTCAATATCTGAAAAACATCTTCAAACATATGCTATGAATGCAAATATGTCTCTTTATCAATATAGACAACGATATGTTATTTCTGGTCGACAAGTATGTGTTGAAATATAACTGGTGTGTTTTATATTTTTTTTTTCTCTCTTTTTGTTTTGTTTGTCTATTTTAAAAATAATTTATTAGCTATGTAATGAAGATAAAACATCAATAAATAATAGATTTAATATGAAACAATTACGTCGTTATCAATCTCAATCTAAATTTTCATTTTATGATAATGATCTAGAAAATAAAGATGAAACTATAATATCAAAATGGACAATTGTTCGACAACGTTTACCAGATATTCTTGCACTTAGTACAACATATAAACCAACAAGTATTCGAACTCAACTTCTTTTACTTATTGCATTAATGAATAGGCAATCAAATTCATTACATAAATTAAGTACTAATAATTTAAATGATGATTTATCATGTAATCCAACAAGTGTTATAATTAATATTAGTGGTCGTAATCGATTAATTTATTTAAAACGTATTCCACCACAACAAATGATACATGTTGATGTTGATAGTCTTTCATTTTCAATACCAACACGACAATTTATTATAGCTATAAGTCGCGGTGATGCATATAATGCAGCTTCGAAATTTTGTCCACCGGCTATAACTGATATGTTAATTGATTTATCGAAAACAAAAGTTGTTGGTGAAGGTTTATTATATCAACAAACATTATTTAAAAGACGTATTGGTAAAATGTTATTTTTTGCTTTATTTATATTTATTATTGGAATGATGTTAATACTTATGATTAGTACAGTAAATACATTACTTCAATTAAATTCATTGAATTATACAACATCAACTCTATCAATAAGATATCTTTCATCAAATATAGAAACAGACGAATATTGGCAATGGAGATAATATTTTATATCATTTTTTTTTTCTTAAAAACTTAAATATATTTTCTTTGTGATTCTTTATTGTATTCGTGTATGATTAATGATGTTAATGAGTCCATGAGATAATATGTTTGGAATTGAATGTGACTGTTTTTTTTTCATTTAATAGAATAATAGCAAAAAGGCATCAGCTTGACTATTATTTCTGTTGTTTTTTTTAAAATATCGCACCATCGTTTCTTTTTTTATTTGATTCTCATTTGTGACTAGAGTGTGAAACAGAGTGCAGCTTTCATACTTATCCATCTCAATCGATTCTTACATTGGGCTTGTTTTTTTTTGAGACTGGTAAGTTAAAGAATTTAGGAATATTTAAACAGGTTGAAAAAACCTATTAGCGTAATCTCTGCCGAATTAAAATGTAAAATACGATATTACTGCTGTTCCCAATCATTGAGACCTTATTTTATTCTATTTGTTTTAGGACACATTTCTTCATCATCCTTTTACTTAATTCTCCAGTAATGCAATAAGGAAGTAGTTCACATATTACAACGAGACGTTATTAATATACAGTTTGCAATCGTATATTAACAACGTCTGTTACAGGCTGTTACGCGGGATTGGATGTTGCTAAGGCTTCTGTCACGGCTCCATGGCTACGTCTAAGCATGCACCAGTATACTGGTATATGCCTAGATATGTCGGTCATGATCTGTAGGAAGGGGATTCAAGTTTTTACCCCTATACTTTTAGATCGTGTTTTATAACAGTGAAATATTCATCTATTAACAGAATAGAAAGGCTTTTTTTCTTTTAAGATAATCGTTCGATCGAATTTAGACATTGAACAGCGAAGATAATTGTTTCAGAAATTTTCATCAAACATGTAATTTTTGTTAATTAATGATTAATCTACGTAATCAAATCAGGATGGAAACTTTTCTACATTAATAACTTGCACTTAAATCAACAAGTAGAAAATTTTGAGTAACATTGGCATTCTTTCATAGAAGTTTTGTTCAGTGTCGAAAGTATTTTTTAATAGAAAACTCAGTCATCTTATTTAGGTTTCTTTGCCGCTATTGCTAGTCAAAATATGATTATTTGCTAGAAAAATAATATTTGAATCATATTTTAATGTTTCCCAAGCAGACAAGAATTCTTGAAAACGTTCTAAACGTGATTGTTGTTTGAGCGTTTTCACGTATTTTCAGAAAATACAAAAATCAGCTACTTTCACCATAAAAGATGCGTAAATTTGCTCAAAAAACGTAACTTTCTCAACTGGAAAACGTGCAAATTTTTGTTTTTTACAACATTTTCACGTGTTTTGCAGATCAAAATGACGTTTTTTCTGTGTGGTGTATGTCAAAAATCTTGAGGAAAAACTGTTTAAACGTTTTCCTGATGGAAAAATTGTCTTTTTCAAGCATCTTTACGCATCTTTTATGATAAAAGTAGCTGTTTTTGGTGTCTTCTGATCGGATGTGAAAATGCTCAAATGAGAGCCACGTTTGAAACCCTCTTAAAAATCGATCTTGGACCAAGTACATTCAAGATATATTGAGATTATAGTGAAGATACTATGCTAACATTTACAGTCCAATATCATAACGTTATTGGGAGATCTTCAACAGATAAAGTTAAAAAATAGCTCATTTAGCTACTCAAAATTCTCTGTGAACTCTCAGTCTATAGATTTAAGTTTTTTTTTTTATTTGAAAGAGCATGCCATGACCTGCTCTTTTAAACAAAAAAATCAATTGGATACAATGAAGTCCTTGGATAATTCTCGAATGCAAGATCAGAAAAGCATAGACGAAAAAAGCAGAAAAGATTTCTGATCTTTTCTGAAAATAGTATATGTTTCAAGTAGATGATGGTGGAAATCATCTAAAGTTTTGGTAAAAAGCGAAATACCAAATAAAAAGTCATGTTCTTTATGAAAGATCAAGCATTGGGCTATCTTCGCATGCATTTATCTCAATTTCAATTTTTCTGACAAAAATTGACTTTTTTTTCGAGAATGAAGGTCTTAAATGAGTTTTCAGAAATTCTTATCTGCTTGCGTTGTTAATTCCAGATCAGAGAACGCCTGAAACTTATATTAGCATCGATTTATCTTCTTGTCAGTTGTTATATGAAAGAAAAACAGATTATGCTCTAGAAATTTAAAGATAGTCATCAGTTTAAACTTAATCTCAAGTCTATGATTCTGAACACTGAAAACAAGCGGATTTCGCCGGAGTTGATCAGAAGGATCCGAAAAAATTATCTTATTCTGAACTGAAATATCTCCGACTTTATCCAGTAATTTTCGACCATTTTTTGTCGAGAACAACAAGAAGTTGATCGAAAGTTTTCAGAAAAAAATCAGGAAACGTTTCAACGTACACTATGACTTCTAATAATGTTCCTGGCGAAAGCGGTCAGTATAAGCCTTCATCTAGGCCTTAGTGAATATATTCGATAGAAATAGTTTTCGAAAAACTTCATAATAAACATATTATTTGAATTTCTTATTTCTTTTAGTCGTAAAAAATGTTGATCAATAAACAGCTTCCAGCAGGCGAATATCGCCATAATTATGTTCGTTTAGCTCTTCTGGTTGGTACATTTCTTTTATTCATTGGTTATATAGCTGTCAATGAATTATATGAATATGGCAATAATCGTAAGTTTATCTGAATTCAATTAAAAAGAAAAGTTTTATTATTTTATATTTCAGACATATTTCTAAATGGAACAATACGTGCTGAAGATACAACTGTCAATGATATTACTCCATCAGATTGGGTTTATCGAAGTTTAAATGGATTAAATTATCTATGGCAGGTAAAATTTGATTATAGATCATTTTTGACAAAAAAAAAAACCTACACAAAGAAAATTCTTTTAAGTTTGCTTGGCTTCTTTATTCATTAACATTTATTTATCGTCGATCATCAATTGGTTATCTATATTTATCACCAAATACATTAACACCAACGTTTTGTATTACTTATATCATAGCTTTTCTTCTACCATCAATATGGATTCTATTTTTTCAAAAATCTTATATAGCTGTGAGCAAAGATTTGTTTTTTGATCTTATTGAGAAGGTTTTTTTTTAATATTTTAGTGGACTTGGATTGTTTATTTAGTATCATTTTTATTACTTACATTGGGTTTATTTATTTTAAATAATAATATATCAATCAATCAGAAAATTTATGAAACGGATGGATTGTAAGTAATTGGAAAGAGTGGATTTGAAAAATTCATCTATTGTTTTTTTTTCTTGTTTAGTAATCGAGATATTTGGTGTCTACGATTTTTTGCTCAAAATGGCGTGGCTTTCTTTGCTTGCTGGATAGGTTTGAAAGAATATTTTTTAATTATTTTTACTATTAAAAAGATGATTACTTCGAATAAGGATTGCTGATTCACTTAGAGCATACCAAAAGTAATGAGATTTTGAAGTCATCATGGCTATGGCAAGGTGCAAAGATTGTGAATTGCTTTGATCAGTTCGATTCTGTTTGATCAGATCGAATAATCAATAATTAGATGATGCCACGTCCGGCGGGTTCGGTGGTTGTCGAATAATTTTGATACCTTCTGATTCGAGATAATTCAAAATATCTTTATAAACATGCGGTTTGACATTGTTATGATGAAATTTTTAGCATGTATATCAGATACTGATCTTTTTGTCCGAATTTCCTCAACGAGAGGTTTCAGGCAATTATTGATGAATAATGGTGGTCAATGGTTTGTTCTTGTTCAACACGATGAATTAGCACGAGACTAGTCAATTTAAAAGAGATATAAAACAGAGTTTTTGGAGCAAAACAGCTGCATCGAACTACAGTAGGCACAGATCCATCAACTAGTGTCCAGGTAGCATTTGACAACGTTCGATCAATTTATTTAGAATAAAATCATGACTCGTCACCTGTCACCACATTACATAATCCCTCTGTTTTTTGTTCGAGTTTTGCCAAATTTTCTTGATACAGTCGAATGAGTTCGACTCGTTCGTTATCAGTCAGGAACTTGGATATCTAGCGAGCAGTAATATTTTTTCAGCATCAGATAGTCGGAAATAAATCGTTCCATGATGCTGCGACTCGTATCAGTTTGCACTTGTATTTCATCAATAAGGCATGATACTTCTTCAATGTTTTCAGATACTATCTCGGGGTTACAGGTCGCCAAGTCGTGGTTGATCTTCGATCTTTACGAACCAATTTTGACTATCCGTCAATTGTATATTAAGGTGGAGCCTGATCGCTGCTAACAGATTATAATTTATCAGGAATCAGTTTTGATTGAATATTAAATGCAGCACGCACTTTAATCTAAAAATAGAGGTGAATAGCTTCCATTGAACCTTTTCATACGATATTATCGCTTGACTAATAATAATTTTACTGCAGACATATTGAGCACTCCTACTACTACTAGCACATATGGACAGAAATTTTTCTCAAGTTTTCTATACTTTGATACAATGTCAGTCTCATTACTTTTGGTATGCCCTAAGTATATACATGTATGTACGATTCTGTCACAGAGATATCCATGGCGGCGCTGCTGTCGCGACATTTTTTTGTTGAAAACCACTGCGGTGCGGAAGATATTTCAAGAATATCATCGCAGCAGTGGCAGCTGCTTTTTTTATTGAGATTGTAGAATTGGATTAATTTACACTCAACTTGAGTGTCTACAAGTTCAACAGTCAGAATCAAGATTGAGTCTGATGAATTCAATCCAATTGTGTTAATTTGGGATAGTAGCGGAAAAGATTCTTGTAGTTCCTCAAAAATCATCGCGGTCACGTCGTAGTAGCCTTGTCTCTTCTAGGACCATACCATGGCAGCGACGCTGAGCCTTGCCTCTTCTAGGACCATGGCAGATTTCTAGTCGCCATGGACATCTCTGTTCTGTTATATGTTAGTCTGCTGTAAAATGAAATAGAATCATTTACTTTTACTTTGATGAAATTCATTAATGTTCATATCGTACTTGTGATTGATTCGGAATTTTTGTGTTTTCAGGTGTTCGATTTGTTCTTGCTTTCGATACGTTTCTTCAACTATATTTGTCTTTTTCAATTGTAAACGCTGGTACAATTGCATTAATTTTAGCAGCAATTATTGCCGTTACATACTTTTTTGGGCCAAATCTCAATGCAGCTCTTGTCGAAAAATGTGCTTATCAATTTTCACCATGGATTGTTTTCATTTTTTATTTCTGGGGTGTTGTTGAAAATAATTGGGTTCCAAAGAGTGTTAGAAGAAATAATATTATTGCTGCACTTGAACTCTTGGCAAGCGTAGTCGCAGCTATTGGTGCTTTAGTTTTATTTACTATGCGTTATCGCAGATCAAAGATTGATCCAATACCATAAAGATTCTTTTTTATTGGCTGAAATAATATTTGGGCATGATGAATTATTAAAATATTCTATATATTTCTGCTTCAGGTGATTTGTTATTTATATAATACATTCTGATTATTCTTCTTTAATAAACAATAAGGGATATGCACAGTGAAATAGTTTGTCTTTGCTAAAAATAAATAATGATAAGGATTAATTAGTTTGTTGACACAGGCAACGAAGCTACGAGGCGTGAGCAGACTAAAACATTTGTTTCTCATTCCATCAGATTGATAGGTTTATACAGCGGATCGAATTTCTTGTACAAACGTCAAAACTTTTCACTGCCTTCAGCGGCAAATACTAACATTTCCGTACGGAAGCAGGTTTAAAAAACGTTCTTCAGAAAATATTGGATCAAATGGATTGATTGAGATATCACTTTTTTTTTTAAATAAAACTGTGATGCTCTGAGCAACGATTAAACGAGTTCGAACGACGATTGTTTGACATCAGAGACCAAAAACAAATTGAATCAATTTTGTGAAATACACTGGAATTAGTACAAACGGTTCAATTCGGTCTCTGCTCTCTCTTATGGCGAAATCAGAGCTGTTAGCCTGGTCTGGTACTTGGTAGATACCTGTCGGACACCAAGCCAGACTGAATTTTGAAATTTTAGCCTGGCCTGATCCGTCTGTGTAATTTTCAGCCTGGTCTGCAGGCCAGGTCAGGCCAAAGTTGATTGCCTGGGTGCAATGTAATACTATTTTTTTCCTAGAAGTCAACTTGAAGAACAAGATGACGCTACAAGTTTATATGTTTGTCATTGAAATTCACTCGACAAATAACTTTCTATTCCAGTGATTAGTGCTGAAACAGAACGTCAGTTTAATATTGCAAGATTTACATCGATGGACAGAAAAACCTGTTTAGATCCTGAACAATAGAATAAAAAGCTTTGCGTTCGTACGTTTGCCAAATTCGATACTCGAATGTAAATTTTCTCCCTATTGTTATCATTCTTTTTTATTCTCTACATTTTCCTTGTATATTCTGTTCAGGATTGCCGATCTCCCGAAAAAAAAGGAAAATTTCTGAATTTTGAAAATTTTTCTGAACATTTCCTGATATTTTGATTTTTTTCCAATTCTGGCACTTCTGAATTTTTCCCAATTCTGAATTCTTTTAGATCCCAGTTTCCTTAATGACGTAAAATATGATTATAGCTCATTAGTATAATGGTGTTCATCTTAAATAAAAATGAATATTAATTATTTTTGTGAATAATTTTATAAACAGATTCCAACTCAAATACATTTGTTAAAGCGAAATCGATTGAAAAAGAGGAAATATGGACAATATTGTCGAATCGATATTATATGATTTATTTTCCTTTCGCAGAATGTATGAACCTATATGATATATACTTAGTTTGTTTTTGTATATTTTTTGAGAATGAAGTTCGAGTCTAGTGAAAAGTTCGACACTAAGTATCTTTTGTGATATCGCATTAACTAAAGAATATATTTATGGGATTATGTTTCTTCACAACAGAATATCTATGAAAATAAATTTAGATTAATTAAAAGAAAATACCCATAACACATATGCTACCAGCACATCAACATACTAATTAACTATTTGCAAAAATAATGCATTCTCTGAATTTTAAGCTTCTGATTTTGATAATCCCGATTCTCTTTGAACTTCTCTTTCTTTGTCTTATCACATGCTGTTTTTGTTAGGGTTAATTATTTTATGATTGTGTAAAAAATATTGATAATGGTTGTCTCTTTTCTTTTATTCATTATTTTTCGGAAGAAATTGTTATTCTATTATCTTCATGGGAACAAATTAAATAATTAATTGAAACCAAAATCATGAGTTAAAGTAGAGTGAAAAATATAATGGATCTGAAAAAAACAGAAACATTAATCAGCCTGGTTTAACCAGCAGATTAGACCAGGCCTCAGGTTGCTCTTTGATTTTTAGTCTGACCTGACCTCCAGGCTAGGCGAGACCAGTCAGCCGACAGGCTAGTGAGGTCGGAAAAAAGTAGCCCGTGAGCAGCTCTGGTCGAAGCATTATATACATATGGTCAATTAAAGAAACAATCTGTACAAGTTTTAATAAAATTCTTGATTAGTTTATTAATAATGTTCTCTAAATAAAACACTATTTTCTGTGTAATGAATTCGTATTTATTTATATTAAAAGCCATGTTTCTATTTGATTTGTCTGTTTAATATCCAATCAAAATGAATAGCGCCACATTCAATATTATATTGAAAATTTTGTTTTTAGATTTTATTTATAAAGAATATATTAAAAACATTAAAAAAAATTATTTTTAAGTTCAAATAAAATTTTGAGTTCAATAATAGGAAATTAAAAACTGGAAATAAAAATGGTATCGATTTATCAACGCAGCTGTTCTACACATTTCTATACATCATTATAATATAAAAATTCATACGATTACAATTTCTTTGTTTTGAATAAAAGATTGCATTTCTATTGAAGATATCAATTTAATAAGTATATTTATTTTTTTTTTTACATTCAATGGCTAATTACACTGGTGGTCCTCGTTATACACGATCTTTAATCAATGAACGACCAGGACCAAGGTAAAATTTTGGCTGTTCTTGTTTTTCAATTTTATTTTAATCTAATTTTGATCAGATTTAATGTACCACCAAATCGAAATATTCAACGAAATAATTTAAATGATGAAAAGTAATTATAATTATAATTAAATAAATAAAATATCGTTTTAAAACTTAGATCTCAATTAAATAAACACATGAATATAGCACAACAACAACAATCACGTTTGATTAATCCAACTAAAACAGTTAATGATACAATAATGTACGATATAATGTTCTTTATTGAAAATTTTATACATACCAAAATATATTTATTTAGATCAACACCTCCAACTTCAAATTCACCGTCTATACGAAATCAAACAGTAACCAATTCAACAAACAATACAATTGATTTAACGTAGTTTCTTACAATTATTGCATAGATAATTTTTTTTTATTTTGTATCTTTAGTATCAATTCACCAAATAAATCAACCAAAATACCAACGACAGAAAATATATCTACTGAAGAATCATCGAATACTTCTATAGATAATGAATTAACAATAAAAACAGATATTACACTTTCTGATGAAGAACAACGATCAATTGGTCAAATTGGACACAAACGATTACGATCTGAAACAAATTCTCAACAGCAACAAAATGTATTTGATTCAACAACATCATTATCACAACAACAAATTAATGAAAGAAAGACAACACAAGGTGGCCGTTGTCGTTTATTTATTGGTAATGTACCATCTGATTTAACACAAGATGAATTTCAATTATTATTTGGTAAATATGGCGAACTTGTTGAATATTTTGTTAATCCATCACGTGGTTTTGGTTTTATTAAACTTGTATGTTTTTTTTTGTTTAAAATGAGAAAAATAAAATATTTTATTCTAATTATTTCATCTAGAGTACACGTCAATTAGCTGAACAAGCTAAATATGATCTTGATGGTTATGTTTTACGTGGTAAACCACTTCGTATACGTTTTGCTAGTCAAGGTGCAACAATAAAAGTTAAAAATTTATCACCAAATGTATCAAATGATTTACTTAAAGAAGCATTTGAACAATATTTTGGTGGAATTGAACGTGCTGTTGTTATTGTTGATGATCGAGGAAAATCAACTGGTGAAGGAATAATTGAATTTGAAAAAAAACCATCTGCACAAAAATGTCTTAATGAATGTACAGAACGATGTTTCTTTATTACTAGGTAAAAAAAAACAATTTCAAATTAAATTATAAGAAAAATAATGAAATTTTATATTCAAATGTATTCAACTAGAAGAATTCCATTATATAATTTCTAAATATTGATAAATACAAATTTTGTATCTTTTTTTTTAGACAATGTTTTATATTTTACTCTAATAAAGTTGAGTAATAATAACAGTATGATTTTTCATTCGAGAAATACAAAAGTAAATGAATTGAAAACGCAGAAAAACTATTTCCAATTGATTTATAATACCCTTTGCTTCTTTCAATTTGAATTAAAAGAAGTACTCAAAATCACCTATTAGTCTTTTCTTGAATCATCTAGATATTATATATTTATATGATTATGCTAAATTTACTAAATTGTCTTACAATTTTTTGAAAAATTTTTTCTATAAAAATAAGTAATTACATATTATCAAATTTTACCAATAAGTTAAGAACCAGTTTCCTTTTTTGCTGAAATACTACTAAACTAATCAAAATATTTTATTTTATTTTATTTTGTTTGAAGTGAGTTAAGACCTGTCGTTGTTGAACCTTGGGATATCAAAGATGAAGAAGATGGTTTACCAGAAAAATCTTTAGTTCATAATCCGATATATATAAAGTAAGCTAAATAATTATATTTAATATTTATTCAAATAAAAACTAAAATATAGAGAACGAGAAGCGAAACCACGTTTTGCTGAATTAAATACAATTGAACATACAATTGGTCTTAAATGGAAAGAATTAGAATTACAAGAAAAACAATTATTAGAAGAAGTTAAAAGACGTATGCAATATGCGACGGAACAACTCAAAATTGAAATTGATCAAATGTATTTAGAACATCAATCACAAGTATTACGAGAAGGTAGGACTAAATAAAAATTTCTAAAGAAAACAATTCATGAAACTGTACATCGTTGATTTATGATTCAATGTATGCATAAGTAGAAATGATGTGTATGAAATCTATTTATGTTTTTCACTTTCTCTATTCTCTTCACATGTTTTTGTATTTTTATCAGAAGATATTCGTATGTTATTGCAATTAAAGATCATCAGAAGACAAGATTTTATAGTTAGAATTATCTTCAATAGGAAAAGAAAAAAAGTTATTATTTATAAGGCGTAAGTTTTTATCTAATAATTTCAATATCAAAATGTCGCAGAACTGTGATCCACTGGCGAAATGCTAAAACGGAAACACATAGCATGAGATTCATTCATAAATAAATCTGTATGGACAATTATCACTAGTAAAGCAATTGAGATTTTATTGACTTTGCGTATTTGATTACTTGTATACAATCATCTGTTTAATACGAAGAGCTCACTTGAAGCTTTACAAAAGTTTCAGTACTAGGTAAAAAGTACCTAAATTTAAATCTTTTTGCCTAATATTGTAACTAAAAACAGAGTTCGGTAAACTCTGATCGTAAGTATCGACTCGATGTCGATAAAATAAAGTTTCATATGTCTTTATTGTGTCATAGGTAGGCGAGTTCTGACACTGTGAAACAAGGACGCTTGTATTATCTCGAACGACCTTCGGATAGGTTTCTGCTTCCATAATAGCTATCGTTATAAAATTTTCAGAAAATATTTGATTACAAAAGAGAACTAGTTGGAAAAAATTTCAAGGTGAATGGTTGAAAATAATCAAAATTACAGGTGATTTTTCAACAATTGTCTATTAACTGTCATGCTAAAAATATCTAAAGAAAATATCATAAGTCAGGCAAATTATAATTGTCTGACATGAAATTCTTTTCTGTGATAGAGGTAGCACTGAGCTCTTGAATGAAAAGTCTAACGTTGTAAGTTTTGTTGCTAATATTGAAATATTCTCATTCGAATAAAAAAAAAATCTATGTTAATCTACGAGTTTGTTTTAATGAAGGTTGATCAGAGTTCATCACGCTCTATTTGTCGCCAAAATATGACAGAAAAGGATGTTCTTTTTACTTGTTTGTGAAACTTTTTGACAACTACTACATACGATTAAATCTAAGAATGATCGATCTACTTGTACATTGCAGTTGATATTTCTACGTTGTATCAATTATATAGATATATATATATATCGATGTAATTGAATTTTTCCATCAGTAATAGCATTCTTTTACTAATGAAGATTTATTTTTGAGTGAACTTTATGTTATACTAAGAACGAGAAAAATGAGAGTTTTTTTTAATTAATTTGTAAGAAAATTATTTGAATATATCAATTTATAATTAACAAGAAATGAATTAGAAACTAAAGTAATTTTTATTACATTGTGAGAATGATTTTGATACATCTAACGAGGGAACATTCTCATGTGTCTCGCTTCGATTGTTTTCCTTTATATACCATTCGATAGAGGACTTCGAGTAGATAAAAAGAGTTCCCACCGGCGGCTTTTTCTTCGGAAGTTACGACCACTTTTCTAATTTTCCCAGCGAAAACTAGCATAAAAAGAAAAATTCATAACTCCATCAGAGAGATTCATAGAGAGCCGAAAATTGTTTTCATGGTAGTCTTAGAACTCTTCTATATATTCTGAAAGTTTCACAATTCTATCACTCTCCTTTTCCGAGTTATAGAATATTTCTATAAGTAAGGATATGGGTGTTGGCAAAGGAAGCACTGACACCTACACTCACATCCACACATACATCCTTACTTATAGAAATGTCCTATAACTTGGGAAAAGAAAGTGATGGAATTGTGAAACTTTCAGAATATATAGAGGAACCCTAAGACTAACATGAAAGCAAATTTCAGCTCTCTATGAATTTCCCTTATGGAGTTATGAATTTTTCTTTTTATGCTAGTTTTCACTGAGAAAATAAGAAAACTGGTCGTAATTTCCGAAGGAAATACCGTCGGCGGGAACCTTTTTAGGCTATTTTACCTACTCAAAGTCTCCTATGGAATGATATATAAACGAACGAAACCGAAGCGAGACATCTGGGAACGTTCCCTCGTAAGGTCACACAAAAGTAAATCATCATTGGTAAATGAATACTTTTTTTTTCAAACCTCATGTTCGACATTCATTTGATATATCCGTTAATTTTTTCTTAAAAAAACTAAGATTTCGTAAAGAAAGAAATGGTAAGTGTCTTATGTTGTTTCTAGAATTATTACGTCGTCAAGAAGATCTTCGTCGAATAGACGAACTACGATCACAAGAAATAGATCGTCGTCGTAATATGATACCGATGCATCGTACTGATGCTTATCATAATCCATTTAATATAACTACTGGTCCTATAAGTAATGTATTTCATCAAAATCAAGCAGCAGCTAATGCATTGCAATATAATGATTTTCAACAAATTTCATATGCAAATTCAAGTCCACTTATACAACAAACATCACCTATAGCAGCAAATATTGATGCTGCTTATACAACAAATCAAGTAGCACGTGGTTATGGATTAACAAATGCACGTACAAGTGGAGATGATTTTATTCAACAACAACAACAACAACAAGGATTTGATAGAAAACGACCGAGATATTAAATATTTCAGTTTTTTTTGTGTGTACTTTTGTCAGCGTCTATTGTTTTCTATAAGAGATTCGATGGTTAATAAGTGAGAAAAATTTGATCATACATATACAACGTATCTCTATGTTCTGTGATCCATATGAAAGAATGATATATATGTTTGCTTATTTGTTTGTTTGTTTGTTCGTCTTTTTTTCCGTGTTTATCTTCTCATTTGTATTATACTAATGAAGAGTCACATACGTAAACAGCTTTAATTTTTGTTTTTGCATAGATAAACAAAAGATTTATGATGAGATATGATTGTTATTTTTCGAGTTGGAGAAAAGAATTATCAACGATTTCCTGAATATTGATTAGAAAAAAATTTTAGATGTTCGTTAAGTATAGGTCTTTAAAAAGGATAAAGAATATTGTTAATATTGAATATTAAGGGATAAAAGTAATATTTTTCATTAAAATAATATCAGAAATATCCAATTACTAAAAACTTGTATCTTTTTTGTTTCTCTTCGACAAGATACTTACGAGTTATATTTTGCATGGATACTTCCATGGGTAGTCAACCGCAAAAAACATAAATTTGTAGAACTTGTTGTGCTGATCATTTTGATAAAAAAAAATATTCCAATTTACACAATAAATCATGGTACTAGGACTAAAATACTCAAAAATTTTGGCTATTCATGACTACTGCTGAGCAGTAGTTGATGCTTTCAGGTATTTTGACCCTAGCACCATGATTTATTGAGTAAATTTGAATATTTCTTAACCAAAATGATTAGAGCAGCAAGTTTTACATACGAAAAAATCTTCTGAGAACCTTGTGTCTTTTGCAGTTGACTACCTATGGAAGTATCCATCAAAAATAAGGTTCCGAAGCACTTTGTCATTGATAGAGAGGTGCCGATCTGACTCTTACGTATTGAAAATCAAATGTTGATGTATCCCCTTATTATTCAAGAGTACGCTGATAAATTCATTCGATTTCTGCAATAAATGCTTGAATCGAACGTTAATTTAGTGTTGTAGGATTCACATCTGTCGTGAAAATTGATTGTCAAATATAAATGTGCTTGTCTGGCATTATAAGTATCATTCGATTATACGAAACAGTACTGATGTGATCAAAAACATTACATTAATTCAAACCATTCTTGTATGAAATATATTTATGACGATTGTCACTTTGTTTTTTTCTTCTGTAAGAACTTGTTTTTATCTTATCTTATCTTTCTAGAATTAAACTAAGTAAACAATTGAAACTAGAATGATATATTAATGGAGAAATGTATTCGAAAAATCAGAAACATCATCATCAATCGACCTTATTTGGTTTGTAAGCCAGAAATAAGTGACCGATTGGCAGCTCTGATGCGTACATAAGTAAAGATATATTTTAATTCGATTCAATGAATTGTTGAAATGTTATGAACATAATGAATAGATTTTTATCAATATGAAGATTGATGATTAATTTAAAAGTATTTAAATTGAACATAACATTATGTCATTGTATATTTTGATTTGTTGAGAAAGAATTTCTCGATAATATTATCACATTTTATTAGAATAGATCTCATTTCATTTTTCGATCGTACAGGAAAACAGAATGCTAATACTTAGGGCATACCAAAAGTTCTGGTCACGGTATTTAAAGGATCTTTTCGGATAAGGTGACCTATTGAGAAAGGAAAAACCAAATCTAACATGTTGTAGAGCTTTTTGAGGCGTGTCGAATGCTATATAGTAAATCTTGTTTTCATAGGACTTTGATGGGCCTAGAGTCAATTTACTGATAGACAACTACATACACTGACAAGATGATCGGAGATGCTACATATAGGAGGTTGCAGTCCGACAAAAACTCTACAACATCGTATGTAAGAAAAAATATTTTACAAATACTTTCGACTAACACCAAGGATCACAATATTCAGAAACTTATCATGCTTAAGTGTGAATGTGTAGTTGTCCATCAGTAAATTGATTCTAGTTCCTTCAAAGTCTTATGAAAATAGAATTTACTATATACTATTCAACGTGCCTCAAAAAGCTCTGCTACATAGTATATTTGGTTTTTCATTTCTCAATAGATCTTCTTATCAGAAACGATCCTTTAAATGCCATAGTCAGAACTTTTCGTATGCCCTAAATATATAAACTACGAAAATCGATTAAAAGTAATGATAGTTTTCTGTAATAATGTATTATTTTAGAATGAAGGATAATATATAAGTACATTGTAAAATTAAGCATAAAAATGTAAAAAATTTTTCTTTTCCTACTCATTTATGTTAATATATTCATATTCGTTGATTAATGTTAACTTTCTTGTGGTGTGATCCTAGTTCGTAGCTCGAGTTAGTCAGTTTCATAAACTATAACTCAATGGATATTAATCAAGCCAATTGGACAACTAATAGTTGTTCAGGATGGATACACAAAATGATCCGTAAATCGTTTCTGACTGACCTAATTTGTGCAAAGCCTCGCAACATTCTAATAATATTTCATTTACAAAATCAGACATCTCTTTTTTTCTGTAAAGAGAAGTTATAGTTACCTCGTTGATCTATTTCTTGTGCGACAGATCTTTCGAAATGTTTTTTTTTTGTTTACAAAACAATAGTTTGCAACAAGGCAAGACCAGTCCACATAAAATCAAAATATAATTTCCTCTATCGATCACTGTTTTCACATTTATTATTTAGTAATTGTTAAAAATTCTTTTTTTTTTCTTCAAATATGTCTAAAACAGTTTTTGAATTGATTTATATTAAAGGAAGATATTTTCAATCGAATGAAGAATAAATGAGAAATTTCAAAACTACTAATAATGCTATTCTTTATTATCTCTCCTAAAAATATTGATAAGATAGACGCGATCTCAGTCATGTCTAATCGTTCTGTTATTTATCTACTCTTGCGCATAAATGAAAATTAAATATCAACTTTATTCCATTCAAATAAAACTATTCCAATCAATCTAGAGAATAAACAATTTTTCAATATAACTGAATATCATCGATTATTTTATCTTCATCTCATTTATTTTCCAGTTAGGAAATGTTCTTTTGAACAATTTCTTTCCACACAGCATGTTCACTTCCTTCTAATCAATGGTTTCACTTGTTCATCTCACCACAGGATATTTAAAACAGCAGTCATTGATCGATCGGAAGTATAAAGTTATTTGTCATGTTTGACGAGAAACGCACAAAAGAAAATCTTCACAACAATAAGTGCTATTTAAAGTAGCCTCTCAACATGAAATCATTTTTATCCCTTGAATAATTATATAATATGTATTCACCTTTCGTTTCAATCGAATAAACAAGACGTGTCAATAATAGCAGAAGTGCATCAGCATTATGAAATCAATGTTCATTTTGCATTGATATGGAAGAACAATTTCTTTTTTTTTTTTCTTTCTCTATAAGGTTCATTTATTTCTTCAGGCAAAAACAAAAATATTTAAAAAAAGAAAATTATAATAAATCTTTTTTTTTTTTCTTTTTAAATTTTATTTAACTTTTGTACATTGTTGTGAACTTGTATCAATTGGTGCTAAACAACGACGTCTTGGTGATGGTTTTATATTTTGTAAATATGATTGAAATAATTGTTCAATCAAATATTGTGTATGACTAAGTTCAATTTGATTACAATGAATTATTTTTAATATTAATTCATCAATTTGATGAATATTTTTTAATGAAAGACCTTTTATAGCTGCTTTTATACATGCACATGCAAAAAGACTTGGAAGAATTGTTAATGTATTTAATTCTAATAGAAAAAATTCAATTGAAAAATTAATATTTATAAAAGAAAAAAAGAGAATTTATTTTACCACATATTGCAAGTGATAGAAGTATATGAACATGTAAACAAAGTTGAGTTCGATTTTCTAATGGTAAAAAATATTTAAATAATAATTGTATATAATCATGTGGTACAAAATAAGCTAAATCCCAATCAAGTGTATTAGAAATAATTTGTTCAGCATCCTAAAACAAAAACAAAGAGAAATAAAATAGTTTTTAAAAAAAAAATTTATTTACAAATATTTCTTCATCATTGTAATTTTCATTTGAAAATATCAATGATAATTGTTCATTTTCATTATTAATTAATATATTTGTACGTAATTTTTTAGCTAAATTATAACATGATAAAGCTATTAATTTATAATAACGATCATTTGTTATAATTGAAGAAGTTTTTGACATAAAACGATCAAATATATACATTGCTAATGCAAATACATCATCGGATATATGTTCATCATCAGTTAACTAAAATCAAATCAGATAATATTATTTTACAAAAACAAAAAAAAAGAACCAACTACAAACTTTATGTAGACAATCAGCTATAAGACATCGCTTTGAATGTGATTTAATAGAAATTTTTGAATAATAAGATTTTTCAATAAAAAGCATTGTTTCAAGTTGTTGTTTTTCCATGATTATGTGTTTCGTTTTGATCCTATGAAGAAAAAGAAACACATACTCAGCTGACTGTAATCATTGAAAAAGAAAAAAAATTCAACTATGAATACGATTGGATTGTATATTAAGGAAAAGACACAAAAAAAAACAGAGAGAGAGAGAGAGGAAGAAAGATAAGAAAAGCCGATATTGAAATTATAATTAGTACTTGTCGATGACACACGAAGCTGTACGCGTGTCTAGAGTCCAATAATAAGGTCGAGAGCAGCATGTGTGAAGAGAGAGCGGCAACAAATTAGTTAAGAAAATAAATTAAAATTTTTTTTTCTCGTCAATGAAATTGAAATTTTGCATCACATTTAATCAAAGAAATTTTTTGTGCGTTTTCTTAGATAAAAAAATCGCAACACGTCCATAGCTGCCTCTGGCAGGTCTGCTTAGTTATTATTTTTTGATAATAATAAACATTTAAGAATATCTTTGTAAATCTTTCTAATGGTGGATTTAAAGGAAGCGATTGCTCCTTCCTTTCGAAATATTTTTCGATTTCCACTGGTTCTTTCTATGATTTAAATATTTCTATTCGAATTCATTTATAATTTCAAATCCATTGATTTAATAGATTAATCATATCTGAAGTAAAACAATCATGACATTTTTCATAAAATGATGAATTCAATCTTGCGTGTTGCATATAAACATATTTAGCATAATTTTCTCACGCGAAACAAGGTATAATGACACGTCTTATTGTATAAGAGAGAGGACCGTGCGAATGAGCTATATATATAATATTTTCTTTTTCGCTTACTTATTTATTTAAATCGAAAAGCTAGTAGACAATATAAGATTAACGTTAATGTCGGTATCTTAGAAAGAGTTTAGCGAATCGTAACAAAGTATTAAATGTTGTGGAACCATTTTTCAAAAAAAAAAAAAGAAAAAGATTGTGTGAAAAGATGCGCTGATCGATCATATTAGACCATTAACTTGGGATCAATTCTCACCTAGCATGTGTGTTTTGATGACATGATTTGACATTGACATGCTAATGTATATTAAAGAAAAAAAAAAGTCAGTTTGTTTTTTTACTACCATCATATGTGGAAATGATTATTTGATAAGACTTAATAAGAAATGGCGTCATCGAAATAAAAAAAAAGAAAAGAAAAGCACTAACATGTGTTTCTTAACATTGATAAATGAGCATTTGTATACGTAAGACAATCCAATGAGATTGAATTCGGTTCGTTAATTTTAAAAACATATATATACACACATGTCTTGTTAGGGAGAAAAAAAAATGAATTTCAATTTTCTTTTTTGGTTTTTTTGACATCAAACATGGACAGAAGCATGATTTTTTTATTCTAATGAGAAAATTGAACATATTTATACTTCAATTTAAATCAAACGTATTGTTATTATCTGTTATTTTCAAGTAGCTTTGTTTTTTGAATGATAAAATTTATCTTTTTTTATTGATAGAAAAGTTTATTTCTTATGAGAAGAAAAAAAAATTTTTTTTCGTAAGAAACGAAATATTCATTGAACTCCAACAGCGATAATCACTTATAAGAAAGAAAATGAGAAGCTGCAATTATCAAGTTTAACATCTCTCTTACGTCAAAATTTGACCTATTTTTTTTACTGTCAGACGGATATGAAGTGTGTGTGTGTTTAAAGAATGTTTGTTGCCCACCCGTTGTGAACACATCCACACACAACTATAACGGATATGCAATTTTTGATTTTGAAATTCATCTGTTTCTTTTATATTGCATATTTTTTGTTCAATAAGCTAATTTAAATGCATTTGTTTATAATCAAACAGCAGGTGTGAAAAAATTGCATCATCGAAATTATTTATCACAAAAGTTTAAAAATATATTTATGACAGAGATGTTGTTTTTTTCTTTTCATTTATTCAATATATGAATAAACATTGAATTTATACAAAAAAATATTATGAATAATTAGAATTTTGAATAACACAATCAATATCAACGAACAAATTTTAGTAGATAAGAATAACAAAATGACAATAGTGAATTTTTAATTAATTTAATTAAGTTTTTGTTATTTAAAATTGTATACTGTGTTGGATTAGGTCTCGTTTTATATCAAGATGATCCGTTCAATGATTGAAATGTTGTAAAATACATAAAAGTCAAAAACTAAATCAGGACTACACTATTCTTATCAAACGGATGTCCTAGAATAGATTGCATAAAATCTTGGTGTATTTTTTTCTTTCATTTTCTAATTATGAAAAAATTTCCTTATATACTAAAAGATAGAGAATTTCAAGCACTACAAAAACTATAATCTTTATCTTAAAAAATATAATCTTCTCTCGTATTGTAACATTCGATTGGTCCAACTTGAAACATTGCGACGTGCGACTTCAAGTCGAATCTTTTTAACACTTTATTTTATTTGCTCAATTACTATTTGTTTGTTATACGACTTCAATCTATTTATTGACGAAGTTTGTGCCCTATGTAATAGTTCATCGGGTTAAGATCTGAACTATTCAAAAGTCGATAATCTTTAGTCCGAATATTGCGAAACTCTTCTTGACACCATTGTTACGTTATTTTGTCTCTGTGTGGTGATCCATTATCTTGTTGAAATAGATACCGCCTATATTATCTGTTTCTTCATGTGTAGCAGCATATATTCGATTATCCTTCTTATTAAAAGTATCATTAACACGAAAGTATTTCTTATCCGAAAATAAAACCTTTTTCGTCATAGATTTTTTGATATTTTTTCTGATCCAAGCGCCAAATGATTTCTTTTTGATTTTATATTCATCAACAAGTTTTGATGCTACTCACCTTTTTTACAAGCCTTGCGGTGGAGATTTTCTTTAATTATATGATAAATTGTACTACGTGATAGTTTTATTTCTTTTGTTAACATTCGTGCTGAGCTCAGCTTTCCTTTTGCTAACCGTTATTTAACTTTCCAGATGAGTGCCTTTGTACGAGTGATTTTTGGAGAATTTTTTGATCTTTTTAAATTAATTGTACCAATTGAGTTTATTGGTTTTATCCAAAAACAAAATTGTTCTTCTTGAAACGACGCTACGTAAATGTTGACGGTTCTCGCTTTCATTGCGACCTTTCTGATACAATCGCAGTACTAGTTCTCGAATGCCTCTATTTTTCATTCTAAAATGTTTTTTTTTGTAGAGCTTGAAGTTCTCTATCTTTTGGTATATAAGGAAATATTTTCATAATTCAATAATGAGAGAAAAATACATCTAAGTTTAATACAATTTATCCTGAGACACTCGTTAATATTTCGGCTTTGTCTGAATAATCCATAGAGTATTTCTATTGTGAACATAATCAATTAATTGAATGTCAAATTGATGGATACTATTCTCATTGATAAATTAGAATTATTTCAATGATCGATCAATCTCACTCAATAGTCGATCCATTGAATATTACATGTTAAAAGCTATTGTGAACTTTTTATACCCATAATTAAAAACAAAAACAGGTTTTTGTTTTTAATCGATATGCATCAATGTATTCAGACTGCAACAAAATATTAAATATATTTTCGATTAATGTGATACAAATACGAGAAAACAAAATAAATTCTAATCATTCTATGAATCATAATTTGCTTAAAAGCAATTACCACAACATCATATTTATGTTATAGCTCAATTTTTCAATTTCCCTAGTAAAAATTCGAATTCTAAATTTGATTATATGAAATTTGAACAAAAAAAGTATTTTAATGAACAGAAGAACTTAAATTTATTCTCAGACCATTCCGACCTTCATCTCAACTCTGTCATGTCCTACTTATGAATCTTTCTTTAAATACTCTAATTCATTAGAAAAATATTTTAATTTTGTCCTGCACAAATTTAAAATTAGATCAAATTTGAACGAACTCTTATATAGAACGAGCAAATGTTTTGGGTTAAATCGATACACTCACATACATATATATATACAGTAAACAGAATGATCAAGGGTTTATTACAAGAAAGAAAAAAAGAATAAACATTTGTAACTTCTATTTTATCTTTCAGTATGTAATAAATGTCTTCTACAAATTCAACAAAATTTTTTGATTTATTTAATAATGTTGATGAATATAAACAAGTAAATCAAAATAGAACAAAAATAAATTTTATAATCTCAAAAAATAAAAAAAAAAACAATTTTTATTTTTAGACAATATGTTCGAAAGTTATTGATGTTATTCGAACATCAAATCGATTAGCAATTGAAAATTTTGATCAAATAATGACAATAGATTCTTGTCATGATAAAATTAATAAATTAAGTGAACGTATTTTAAATCGGTATTTTATATTAAATTATTTACTAAAAAAAAGAAAAAGAGAAAATCTATTTTATTTAGAATTTATCAAATCAAATCTCATATTCAATCATCGAATTGGGATCAATTAGATTTAGATGAAAAAATTGAACAATTAATTGATATTAATGATACATTATTTGAACAAATTGTAAGAGAAAATTTTTTTTATTTATTGTTTAATATTTTTTTTTTTTTCTTAGGCATCTGCACTTGATGAAGCTGATGGAATTAAAAAATCTCCTGTATCAACAGTTGTGGTAAATGATTTAGAAAAACAAAAGAAGATAATTAAATTTTCAAAATATTTTAGCGACAAGTTTTAATCAAACCACAATTAAAATTTAAACATAAAATTGATAATAGTACAATAATACCTTTTATTCCAAAAATTCGTATTAAACCAAATGCTGTAACACCATTACCGAGTAAGTTGGTTTGTTTTACTTTTTTTTTTGCTGTTCTATTTTAAAATTTATTAGTGATCATGATGCAAATGAATTTCGAACCCATTGATCTTGATTTATTAGAAAAACATCCAGAAATGTTAGTATTTTATTTTTTAAGAGAAACTAAATTTAAATATATTGTTTTTTTCTTTTAATCTTTATCTCAGATTAGATCATCCATATTTTGATGAAATTTCAGCATTTGAACCAGATGAAATGCTATTGAAGAAAATCGAACCTCAAGTGAGTCTACATATTGTTTAATATACTACGTAGTAGAATTGAATTTCATTTAGTTTCCAAAATTAATTGAAGAAACAAAATATTTATTTGTTGATACAATTGACAAATTAAAAATAATGATGGATCATATTGAAATACAATTTGAACTAGCAGTCGATTTAGAAGTATACTTAATGACATACGTTTTTATCATAACATCTATTTCTTATTCTAGCATCATTCATATCGATCATATCAAGGTTTTACATGTTTGATGCAAATATCATCACGTACAGAAGATTTTCTAATTGATACTCTTACACTTCGAGATGAATTATCTATCCTAAATAATGTCTTTACCAATCCAGTAGTTCTTAAAGTAAGTTCTTTTTTTAAAGATTTTTATCAAAATAAAATTAATTTAAATTCCAAAGGTATTTCATGGTGCTGATTGGGATATCGAATGGTTACAAAAAGATTTGGGTATTTATATTGTAAATATGTTTGATACACATCAAGCAGCAAAAGAACTTAATTTACCAATATTATCACTTGCTTATCTTTTAAAAACATATTGTAATATTGATGCTAGTAAACAATTTCAATTAGCTGATTGGAGAATACGGTTAGTCAAATGATTAATATATCAATTAAAATCAAAATGAATTTGTCTTTTTGTTTAAGACCTTTACCAAAAGAATATTGTCGTTATGCTCGAGAAGATACACATTATCTTTTATATATTTATGATCGTTTACGAAATCAATTACTTGATTTAAATGAAAATAATTCTGAACTTCTTCGATTAGTTTATACAAAATCAAAAATAATTTGTCAAAAAGTAAAGAAATATTTGTAAAAGATATAACGAATGTAAATAGTGTTTTTGTCAATCATTGATTGTAATATATGCTATGGCTTAATCTCTAACCATCTCTGTAGAGAGAGAGAGAGTTCAAGTCGTTTTTTAATCAGAACTCAATAGTTTTTAGGTGAGCCTCAAAACCCACTAGAGGGAGGGGATGGGCCTACTCTGGCTCCCGTCTGATTACGCCACTATAGACTATATTTGTTATAAATAATCAAATTATTTTTTTTTTAATTTTTATTAGTTGTACAAAAAACCAATCTTTGATAAAAATGCGTATAAAGTTCTGTATTTAAAATCTCATAAAACAACTTTCGATGGTAGTCAATTAGCTGCACTTAAATTACTCTATGCTTGGCGTGATAGAATAGCTCGAGAAGAAGATGAATCCACAAGGTATGCAAATACAATGTTTTTTATTCAATAAAAAAAAACCTATATTTCTTTTTAAAGTTATGTTTTACCAGATTTAATGCTGATTCATCTAGCTGAATTATTACCTAAGTAAATTTTCTTTTATCATTTTGTTTTTAATAATTATTTGTTTTTTTTTTCGAAGAGATATTCAAGGAATTCGAGAAAGTTGTAAATTGGTTCCAGAATTAGTTGAAAAAAATCTCGAAGAAATTCATCAATTATTAATACAAGCTATTGAAAAACCATTATTGGTATTTAATATATTTGTTTTTCTTTTTATAAATAATTTTAATTATCGATTCTTTTTAGCAATCAAATCATGAAGAATTAAACTTAGATGAATCATTACAAAATAAACGTTCCATTTCATCATCGAATACAAATATTTCAACAGGCTCATTATTAAATAATGATAATAAACGAGCAAAGCTCGTTTCAGAAAAATAAAATAGTTTTTCTCAGTAGTCATAAACCTTTTTTTTTTGTTCCTATATATAAATACAACTTCGTAATGATCACTGAATAAATATAATCAAGAAAGTTAATCTATTTAATTGCAATAAATGATGAATGTCAAAATATGATGACATATAAAACAATATCTATATAAACTCAAAATATTATCTAGAGATATTTCATCGTCATTGATATATGAAAATTAATTTCGATTAACTTTTTTGCTCTAAGTAAGTATGTTAAGTTACAAATAACTTTTGACAAAATAATATGTGAGATTTGAAAGATAGATAAAAAATATAATTTAGATTTATTATCAATGATTGGAAGAAGACTATTAAGTCGAATAATATCGTCTAGTAGTTTTCAATAGCATTATTTATATACAACACGAATATTATTATTATTTCTGAAAGATAATGGATAGATTTTATAAAAGAAATAATATACATAGTTATTCCTTAATTGATTTTTCTTTTCAGTTGATTTTATTGAATAAGTGAAATTCCGGTTTGCATTTTTTTTCTATGTTATAAATAATAAATTCATCTTCTGTCATATTTTTTTTTTGATGAAATTAATCGATGTTCAAAAGCACTCGTTCATTCAAGAATGGTTCTATACAAAGTCTTTCATTTTGCTTTATAATTATTTACAAAAATAAATATTATTTAGCCTATATATAATTATTATTTGTTAAACTATATCATTTATAATTAATCTCGTATGAAGAAAAATGATTGGCTATATATTAATTAGAGTAAACACGCATATAGGGAATCATCCTACATATCTTCATGTCATGAAAGATTCTCTTGATGAGAAACTTACTGAAAATGAAGGTAAAAACAAATCTGATGCTTAATACATATATTTTTTCCTTTATACAGATAATCAATTATCTTAATCTCTTGTCTGTCAGTCTTTTACTTTTTTTTTTTTCTTTTTTGTTTCTCTTACTATTATTATCATTGTAGTACTATGATTTACTTTATCTTCATCAGTATCATTTTTGCAAGATCAATATAATTTGTTAGTCTATCTTTCGAATCTCAGCACTCAAGGTTATAGTCAATAGTACCAAACAATAACAAAAATAATTATTAATCGTACTCCTGCAGTCGTTGATCAGCTTGAAATACGAAAGTACTAAGGTTTCATTGATGCAATAACAAAAATTGAAGAATATTGCGGTGATTATTTGTTCTTTAATTATATTCTATGGAACGTGCTTAGAAAAACCAACACATAAAACAAGATAAAGTAAGCATTTCTTTTTCATTAGATATAATAAAATCGAAAATAAAACAATACAAAATTCAATATTTTCCTGTATAAAAACAATAAACTTCTAATGAATACCTACAGTTACATTTCTTCGTCAATTATCAAATATACCTCTTTTTACTACTCATCTTTTCATTTGAAACATCTTTGCGTGTCTATATGTATTTTAATCAACGTCATGTTTTTTTCTTCATTACTTTACCAACTCTTACGGAATAAAAATGTTTCATTATAACACTGAAGGGTACCTTGGGAAATCGACATTATAAATTTTGTTTTTTATTGAGAAATTTATTTTTATTGAGCTAATTTCAAGAAAGTTTTTGTTTTCTCTTATAAGTTTATAGTTTCTTATTTTTCTAGTAGTTATTGATAATAGTTCATCATTCATAAAACTAATCACCATCGATCTCTCTCTCTCTCTCTATTTATATATTTGTTGTTCGTGCGTCAGCATGCTTTATTTTACATATGAGTGCTCACGCGCAAATGCTTTTCAATTTGTTTTTGCCATTATTACTTTATACTTACTCATTCTCATTTTTTTTCTTCAAATCTAAACAAGAGAACAAAAGACTAATGCCGATATAGAAATGACATATGATCATTTAGAAAAAAAAAGAGAGAATACATGGGGATTTTTATTCTTCTTCATCTATAAGAAACTAAAGTAAAAAAAACAATGGCTTCTCAAAGAATGCGAAAGAATAGAAAAGAAAAAAAAACATCTTGGCATTTTTTTTCTCCTGTTTTCCGTGAAATAATACGAACGTATGACGATAATTGTGATTGGCTGATAGTAAAGCAATTTCAGGAAGTTTGAACAATTTCGTATTGATATTATTTTCTTTTCTATGTCCTTATTTTTTGACGACAACTATATCTCGTTTTATAAGCACATAAACTCAGATTATAAAACACAATGATTTGCTGAATAATGGTTATTGAAAATGCAAATGACAGTTAATGTCATCAGCTAGTCTCAAACCTTATTATAAATCGTCCTATTCAAGATATAAGTGTTACATTTTCTAATTTGTCGGTTTGTCTCTATGGTTCGAAGCTCTAATGGAATGAATATGTGTTTTCATCATCGTAGTTCACTTTATTCAATTGTCAGTTTTTCATATCAGTATATTCAATCAATTTCAGATTATTTTCTATTTTGTAAGTATTCATCTATTTTTTTCCGTTAAGCTAGATTTCCATTTAATAGAAGAATAGATTAGAGAATGTCACAATTGTTCGTGCAAGAAACTAAAATCTTCTATGTAGTATTATTTTTTTTTCTTACAAAAAAAAATTGACTCTATTTTTTTTCTGTAGGTTTTCTCTGATTTTCTTTTTGCTATATCAATCATATCAATTAATTATACAAATGTATTGATTCTATTTTAATGTCAATCATTAATAAATCAAATATTCCTGAACGATCCCCTTCACCATCGAGAACATTGATTAAAAATAATAATGATAATTTTCAAGAACGTATTGCTTTTCTTCAACAACGTCAGATAAACACACGATATCATCAACAACCATATAATAGTTTGAAAAAACCTAAGATCAATAGTGCAAATATTTCATCAACATCTTCTATAATAAACAATCGAACACCAGTAAATTTATTAGAACTTAAACAACAACGTTTAATAGAAGCGGCTGATAGAAAAAAACGTATTATAACACGTATTATAAGTATTGTTGGCGTTTTAATAATTCTTTTATGTGCTGGAATTGTTACACTTACACTTAAAATGTCACCAAAAATTGATGAACTTGTACGTACTAGATCAGGTCAACAAAATTTATTTTATCATATGTCTCGAGTGAGTACACCATTAACAACGACAACAATAACAACAATCACATCAAATAATTTGACAATAAATAGTACTTCAATATTTAAATCTCCTTTTCGTTCTCGACAAAGATCATTTATATAATTCAATTATATTTTCTTACCATGAACTATATACTTTTATTATCAATCGTATACATATTCCGTATATTATCATATAATTTTTATATCTATGATCAATACTGATATATTCGGATAAACAAAAAATAGAATATTAATAAACATACGTTTATACGATACATATACTTGTCAACATTGATTAGATGAATAAGTATTTTGATATCTAAGATGTTATTAATTGTCAGAGTAAAAGATGAATGTATCACATCAAATTTATTTTTACTTAAATTACTTTCTTTTTTTTTTCTGTTTGTTTATTTTGACAGTACAAGGAATATGATATGTTAATTATTTATTTTCAATAAATTTGAAGTATAATAGGAATTGAACCATTGGTAATCAAAAAAACGACTCTTTTTTAGAGATAAAATACAGTCAAATGTTAATTACTTGCCTACTATGCTTTTATTTATATCATCAATATGTCTGGAATACTAAACAATTCATTAATTTATATTTGACAGTTTTTTTGGCATTTGAAATTCAAATTAAATATATTTAATTCATGTTAATTTTTATATCTAACAAAAAATAAAATAAAATGGAATATAATTAATTAGTACTAATTTATCGTCAATTTAATTTTCGTCACATATTGACCTTCTTCTCTTGAATAAAAAAAAAATTTACAACGCAACATTAGACATTAAAACAGTAAAAACATTCAGAATAAAAATGAAGATATATTTTGATTGAATGATAAATCGAAATTTTTTCATGAACTATTTAGCGTAGTCAGAAAAAAAGTTATACGCCGATCTTAGTCCCCGGACTTTGTCTGTAGAAGGAGCAGAACTCAAACGTTGGTAAGAGAAGCTCAAAAATTTTTGGAAATCGCTAAAGTCATTCTATCCTTCGTCTTTTTACGCGAATACCATGAAGTATAACATATTTCTTCGATCGATTCATTTCATCAGTCATATATTGACATGCAACAATAACTATTTAATTATTAACTATGCTCGTGTTAAGTTAGTTCAACTAAACATTCAATAATTGTTTCAATCATGAAATTATTTCTAAAATATCGATAATATTAATATAGAAATTTTCGAATACACTGATTTTTCTAATATAAAATTTCTGATCGAATTATTCATTAATATACAATTTACAAATATCAAGAGTTAAGAGATTAATATGGCATGCAAAAGTGTTTTACATTAATATTGAATTCTGTTACGACAATATTACTGATTTTGAAATCAATTTGGAAAGAGCAATATCTAAATAACAAATTTTATTGCATGTATATATTTATATGCAAAACGAATCTGAGAAGAACTAAAAGACAAAACAACAAAATACTTATAAAGAAATTCTTGCAATTTCATCATTAAGCATGATCATATTCTAATTTATGCGTCCTTTTTTATGTACGGAAAAAATATGTTTGGTGATGGCATTTATAACATCAATAGTGCTCTGTTCAATAAAAAAAAATCAACCGTGATTGATTTACAACAAGTTAACTATATGGTCTAACAGAATTTCATGTCTATAAAAAAAAGTTTTTTTCCATCGTTTGATTACTTCGATATGTATAATAGTTAATATAAATACTATTTCATATAGTTCTCTTTCATATTCATCATGTCTTTCTAATCTAATCATGTATCCTTGATAGTTGATGAGATTTTCATCAATTGCTATCAATTTTTATGTGGTTTTCCAATTCAATGTTCATCTAATACATGTAAAACATTGCTAATACAAAAAGAAAAACCTTTATCAGAAATCAAATGATCTGTCTAATTATTTAATCTATTTTTCCTAATTTCTTTTCATCAAACACTCGAATTAGTTGAGATGACTTTTTCACTATAGTAGACAAGCAACTTCTAAAACACTTTAATCACATTGTGATGGAATCCTAGAACATTGTTACATTGAAAAATTATATAAAAAATAATTATCCCGATCATGAATAAATACAGATCATTTTTTTTTTCTAAATTGATTCACCGTTTTGATATATAAACACGCACACACATAGACACATTTACATGATCTGACCGAGATGACAACATATAACTTAATATATTAATCATCAACCGGGATACACAATAAGCGCACACAGACAATTTTAATACAAAAAAGAAAAAAGTAAACAATAAAATTATGGATTAACAAGATAGGAATACATCGGATTGTGTAGAAGATGTTGACAAAAAAGTATTTGCATCGTTTCAGCTCTGATCGAATAAAGACTCGAAAGAAAAAGTAGAAGTTTTGAATAAATGGAAGCTACACTTATTGTTATATTATTATTATTATTCAGTACAGATGATTGTTGATGAATTAATGATTGTTTAAGACTTGTTAATTGTTTAATATAAAGTTGTTGTAAATTTGTATTATCATTAAATACTAAAAGAACAAAAAAAAATTTTTTTTGTACTTCATCATAATAATAGATAAATATTTTTTAAATTGTTACCTTCTTTCATACTTTTAAGAACAATAATACGTCGTATATGATCAAAAATATTTGAATCAATATTAAATCGTGAACCTTTTTGTAAAATTGAACATAATTTATATGCATCTTCTTCTGGTATACATGCATGTTGATGTATTGAATTTAAATCTTGATCAATTGTTGTTAATGATAATGAATGTGTACAAAGAAGAAATTGTAAATTAACAAAACGTTGTTCAATAAAATATGTTAATAGTAATTGTGACCAACATCGTCGATGATATATTGATGTTGATATTGAATCAATTAAACATGTACTTGCTTGTAACCAATTGGTTATTTGTGTTTGTAATTCACAGATAAATGATGATGGTAAATAAAGACGACGTAAACGTATTGATGAAAGAAAAATATTATTTCGTTGCTGATCATTTTGTTTTGACATATCACTATCAGATATCGAATGTTTTAATAATGAATGATTATGAAATAGATTTAATTTTAATTCAACAAGATGATTTGATTGTCGTAATATTGTACAGAGATAATTTTGTTTTGGTAAAAAATTATTAGGAGTATAGTGATTTTCAATATCACTTCCATCATCATCATCATCATTATCATCATCATCATCATTACTACTATTATCTAATTCTTCATTATTTGTATTATTAGAAGGAAAAAATTTTTCTACTAGTATAGATGATGAATTATTATATGTATTTTCATTATCTTCATCTTCATCACTTGAAGAATTTTTTTCATTATCATTTTCACCAGAATCATTTGTAAAATTCATCGATTTATTGTCGAATTAATATAAATAGATATATAAATCTAGAGATTGATTTACAGTATTAAAGAAAAAAAGAAACAAAGGATTATAAATAATACTGTAATATAATTAAAATAGTTGATATTTGGTCAACATAGATTGTATTCGTCAAATTGCTACGATATTGTCATTGAATTATGCATCTAAAAGTCACAAAAACTATTAACAACTATAGTTTATGCCTATTTGTCTCGTTCTCTCTATCCATCTTTTTCTTCGTTATATACAAACACACGCCGTAAGCAGCAGCAACAACAACAGAATCAGCAGAGAGCAGCCTGAAGGCGAAAGAAGAGAATCAGAAAATAAGGTTGTCTTTCTTTCTTTCTCGTTCGGTTGATGCCCATGAAGGAATAGGCCTGAGAAAGAAAGAGAGAATAGAAGAGGAAGAAAGAAGGACATGTGAAAAATAAGCTTTAATGACCTTGAATACTAGAAACAAAGATGACGAGAAGAGTTAAATGAAAGGTCTATACTATCATATATAAATTCTATCGAAATATAATGATGACCTTGTAATAATATGATCATCACTTAAGTAGAGTTCATATATTGCAGTTATACTAATATTTGATAAGCTCGCATAGTTTTATATTATCTTACCATCATGTATATAAAATGATCACTTATACCTTGCTCACATTTAATATAAAAAAAAAGTCACTTCAAATGATTGTATACAACTGATGTGATTTATTGTGCAATTATATATAAGTAATCTAAACGTTGTCCAAAGTATTCTAATAAATAAATGACCTTAGACGAAATAGGTTGCATGCCGAGAGCTAAGCAAAAGCAACAAATTCTCGTCTTCTCTTTCTTGCTGTCTCTCTCTCTGTGAGGCAAGCCTTCATGTCATTTTTTGTTTTCCGTTTGCTCTTGTTTTCCGTTCTCTCTTCTCGGTGAAGGTGAAGTCGTGTTTTTGCTTTGCAATCGCGTACACGAAGGCGTTTACATAACTCTATTACTTGTTGACGACAAAACCTTCAAAAACATCCGTTGTTATTGTCAGTTAGCGTTTTCCAGTACGAACACATTCATGGGTCATTTTGGTTTAGAGTTTATCTTTCAATATGAATATTTGACTAAATATAGAAATAAGAGAATTATTATTGTTGTTGTTGTTAATCGTATCGTGTAATGTTGCTATTTAGACCTTGGATAAGAAGAAAAAAAACGAGACCAAGAACAAAAATATGATGCCTTCATATATATGTTGAAGAACGATCGAAAAAACCTTGTATACATACAATGCCATTGAAAAGACAAGTATTGAAGAAGGAGACAATGTCAAGTTTATCAAGGAGAATATTCGATGTGTAGTAGGTCCTCTTGTGTTTTTTGTCTTTATTATGATTTTTTATGTGAAGACAATTGTCCTTATATAATAAATAGAAATATTTTATTTTCAATAGTCCTATAAAATCATACTTATTAGATGAATTATGCATAAGTTATTTGTTTTCTATTTTATTGTCTAGATAATAAAAAAAAAGTGTATGCCCACGGGAAGTTTATTGAAAAACAAATGAGTAATATATAATTAAAATGTTATGTGTTGTTTTTTTTTTACATTAAAAATAGACTAAGTTTTTTTTATCATGATGAGAAAAACCTTGAGAGATTAATAATCTCAAGATAGTATTATTTTTTTTCTGTTATTAAAAACATAAATAACAATATTAAAATTCATCATTTATGATCTATTCTCATCAATTTTAATACATAAATACATTCTAGTTTTTTCTTTTTTGTCTCTTCTATAAAAATTTAATTTCAATTTAGAAATCTTAGGTAAAAACAAAAACAAAATTCGATCTATGAATTTAAGTTTTTCAATGGATAACCAGTGACACATGTATTTATTCGGAAACAGAAATTTGCTTTGATTCCTTGATATCTGAAGGCTATGACAAGGTTTATTCATTAGTTATCGATCAATGTACTAGTCATGCGAAGGTTGAAGAAATCTAGAAAGATAGATAGTTAGATAGATAGACAGACAGACAGACAAGGATAAAATGAAAGGAATAAATAAATCTTCGCAACCTTCTCGTGGACTAATATACAGGTTGAGAGTAATGTAATTATCTTGCTACTAGCATGTCCTTCGATTGCTTATTTCTTTTTTGTCTTATATGAATGTTATTAAGATTCTTTTCGATGAGAAATTCATGATCAATGTTTTACATCATAAAATAACTTTCGCTTTTCATATATATTATTACAGATTTCAATACAAAAAAAAAATCATAATAATAATAATTATTCTTCAATGGATTGATTCTAATTATTGTTTATTTAGAGAATAAAATATTTGATAGCATTATGTCTAAGATGAATGAGTTATGAATGAAGAATTTTCAACATCAGAAATGATAAAACAAATGATATTAATCAATGCAAAAACAATAAAATAGATTTAGAATCTAGTTAAATATTACAATTTAAAAATTTTCAAGCAAATAGAATATCTCTTATATTGAAATGTAGAATGCAATATATTCAATAATGTTCTCTTTTTTGCTATGAATTGAATCTTCATATCGAAGCTAAGACGTTACCAACAATGTTTGAAATTTTTATGTTTGTTCAAATCATATTTCGTTTCTATGTATTCATTTGATTTCAATGAGATAATTCATCAATTCATGCAACTTCACTCAAATTAAAATTAATTTTATAAAAACGTTCTTTCATAAAGTACAAATAAATTGTTCATGAACAAATATTGTATCTTTGTAATTAAATAAATCTTAGTGGATTATAAAATATGAAAGGAAAGTAAATATAAAATAGATAATTTTTCATGCCATATACACAGATCAAAACTAAAATAAACATACTTTATTACTTTGATAAATTCATATCAATTAATTGAACTATTTTTCTCTATCGTCTAGTTTTCTTTTATATGAACAAAAACAACTGATGATTAATTGTTTTCGATCTGTAATAACTAAGTCATAATTTCAAATAATTCAACATCGATAGTATGAGAATCAAAAATCCAAAATTTTGTCTACATAATATTTAAACGCTTGACAGTATTGAAATATTTTCTATACAAGTACTTCTTCATTTGATCGCATCTCGTTTGAGTTGAAACTGATGACTATAGCATAGCAGATAGAGCTGCCTACCATCCAGTTCATGAACGATATATAGATTTGTCTCATATGAAAAGAACTTATCACTGAATCCAGTATACATGAGAATAGTTAGTAAGTATTTTTTTCAACTCGATGCTTCAGATTTCTTGAATTAGGAACTATCCAAGATGGAATAAGCAAAAATTCTGTACTTGAGCGTACTCAAATGGTATGCCAAAGCTATCCTTGAAGTATAGTGAAGTATGGAATTTTTCCCCCTTAGAGCCGTCACATCGCTAGTTTTATGATTGAAAAGCGATGTATTGAAACATTCATGAACTGGTCTATTATACTAACCATCAGATTTCTTAAAACTCTATCGAACGATAAGAGAAGCCGGTAAATTGTAGACGTGTACCCAAATCTAATAATAGAATTGTCATATTTCAAACTGATGCCATTGATTGATCCAATGAACCGTTTGATTTAATAAGATATTGAAAGAAAACTGGAAAACAATCCAAACTCTAACTCATTGGGTTTCAGTTGTTTGATTGACTCTATCACGAAGTCTAATAACGTTGTCGAAATCTCTCTCTTGTGATATTCTCCAGTGTTATATCCTTACTTCAATTTTCTATCGACGGAAAAATATTGTGTCATAAGGAAATTTTTCTTCATTTAGACAAAAACAATACAAAAAATTGTTAGCACGATTTCTACAGAATCAAAATGTGAAACATGATGTAGCTGTTGTTGTTAATCATAGAAAATTGTTTTATTTTATCCATTTTGGAACACATTTTTTCACCGTTCTTTTATTTAATCCTCCAGAAATGCAATAAGGAAGTAGTTCATATATTGAGACGAGACGTTATTGATGCACGGTTTTTGATTGTGTATCAATAACGTTCATCACGTTTTCTGACTAGCGTTGGCGAGAGGGCGGAACAAGCTTTTATCTTAATTAGATTGTGCTTCACAAAAATAGATATTTTAAATTGCTTGATTCTTAAATGGTTGAAGACTATTTATTATTCACTATCTTAATAAAAACAAAATTCTTTAATCAATATAAATTATCAAAAGTTATTTTTATTAATAAAATAAAAACAAAAAATTGTTTTTTTTTCTTTCTTATTTAATAATGTTGAGGTAATATTTCAGTTAAATTGGATTTATGAGATGTTTGATCATTCAATGCTGCTGGTCGATCATAATCATTTAATGAATGATTATAGGTTGCATTATGTTGTTTTTCTTCAAGACGACAAAAAACACATAAAAGTGCTGATGATAATATATTACTATTATCACGTTTTAATTTATTTGAAGAAAAATTTTTACCACATTTTGAACACTAAATTAAAAAAAAAATTTTCTTTATATATATAAAAATCAAAAACAAAAACAAAATTTTTTTTAATCAAACTTACATTGACAATTTTAGCATTTTTTAATGTTTTATTTTGTTCTATAACTTGTTTTATATTATCACAATTTTCAACATGCCATAAACGTATATCACAATCCTTTAGTTGAACAAAAAAAAATTAACTTTCAATAATACATATATATATATCTTACATTTGATACTGATATAATCCATTTATTATCACTTGTTAAACAGACATCATTAATCCAATCACGATGTCCCTATTAACAAAATGAAATATTTTCATTGATATATTGAATTTATTTTAATCCTTTCTTACACGTAGTCCAAGTTTATGTGTCATATTTTCTAAATCCCATAATACAACTCGTAAATCATATCCTCCAGTAACAAGAAGCTTGCCATCATCCGACATGTGACATGCCGCGATCGATCCTTCATGTAATTTTGGTAACATTAAAGGACCTTCACGTCTATAATAGAAAAAATATACATATCAATTGAACAGTTGACATGCTGCTCAGCAGGTAGAAAAAGAAGGAGGAGTGTATAAGGATGAGCATCTGAAAAGGCCATCTCATTAATTTGAACACCCACAGCGTTCAAATGAATGGCAAGAGCTAATTGTCTTGTCACTCACCTAAAACTGCCAACTGTAGCATCATAAAGAAGTACTGTTTTATCCCATGAACATGTTGCATATAATCGTTCAAATTTATTGAATGTACAACTTGATACAACTCCTTCATGACCTCTAGAAATAAAAAAAAACAGAATATTTTTCTTTTTTTTCTTAGACATGATCAATTTATAGAATTTTGGTAAACTCATATGATTGCATCATTATCAATTAGTTCCTATGATATATTTCTCTTTTGTTGTATAAGAGATCAATCTTTCATGACAGAGTATTTTCTTGTCTTGCATCATTGATTGACAAGTGGGCCAATCTATATCTATATACATATATATATATACCTTAATGTCATTGTGGAACGATGAGAAACAAGATCGAAAAATTTTGTTGTTTTATCTGTTGATGTTGTGATTATTCGATCATCTAACGTATTAAATTGACAACTTGTTATAGTTGATTCATGTACATTAGGTATTCGAGAACTCATAAGACCACTTGCTGTATCCCATATAGTAAGAACACTATCTAAATCAGTACCGGAACATAAAGATTTACCATCATGAGATATATGACAATTTGTAACAATATGTTCATGAATACCTTTCCACTAATAGAAAATAAAAAATAATAAAACTATTTAAAAAGATTATATTTATATACAATTTCTTTGCCAGTTTCAATATCAAAACAACGAACTGTCTTATCCCAACTGCATGAGTATAAACTAGAAAAATAACAATGATTAATTGATTATTCTATAAGTTTATTATATATATATATTTATATACCGAGTTGCTTCTTGATTGACTCTTACTGCTGGTATAGCTGCCATATCATGATTAAGTTTATATTCCTGAATTTGCTTTCCACTGCTAAAATTCCATATACGTGCTGTATTGTCATTTGATCCTGTAATAAGCCAATTTTTATTTTCAATCAATTGGCATGATTTAATAGGTCCTCTATGTCCATGATACAATTTAATTTCAACCTACAATTACATACATATATATATATATATATATATATTTTTTTTTTATTGCATAAAATCATATTATACATGGATACGTCAATGAAAAGGTGAATAGTATCTAATTTCATTATGAACAAAGGTATGGAAATTCTTGACAATAACGATAATAAATCTTTTGATCAAGAAAACATAGACAAAAAGAAAGCATCCGTTCGATAATAATAATAATGACTAGAACCTCATATCGTGATTAACAATTGAATAATAAATGCACGGCGGATTTCTTTTTCTTTTTTTTTTTGCTCTTGTCAAGCCTCAGGATAACAGTAACAAGGAAATCATCATTGTTCTATATTACATCATAGAAAGGTAAGCTTATGATAATAGGCATCATGTCGTGACCTGACTGTTGTGTTAGAAGTTCAGGGGCGGGCAGGCGATTGTCGTTGCGGATCATTCATCCTCACAAGCAATGACACCTCCCATCAAGATCAAGATTAATCATTGAGAGCGATGGGTCAGGCGATCAATCACATTGTGGAAAGTTATGAACTTTAGACGTTTAGATTAAAATGAACAAAAAAAAACAACAAACAATACCAACTAAAACCTACTTGTGCCGAACTTTCATGAACCCATTCAGCATTAGGTGCAAGTGGTTCAGTTAAATTCATGTTATGTGATTGTAACGCCATTGTTTTTATTTTAGTGTGTGTATAATAGAATCTATTGCGTGTGAAAGTTACAATTCTTTTTTACTTCAATCGTTTGAACAAACACACATGCCGACACATTTCGTCGTCTCTGAGGTGATGACGATGAAAGAAAACAAAAAAAAAAACAGTACAGAACAGAACAAAAAAAAAATATTTCTTTTTATATATTTGATATTATGTATTAAACGGAAATTTTTTTTTTCTTTCATTAAAAGAATTTTAGTTCATTCAAGGAAACATGATTGTGTTTGTAGTTAGTTGAATCATCCAAGAACAAAAAAAGAAAAAGAAAAGTGAATCTAACAATGGATGAACTACCTTAAGAATAGAGAAGACATTATTCTCGCTTGCTCTTGTACTCTGTTTTTTCTCTTTCTTCTTTTTTTTCCTCTCTTCTCTCTCTCGCTCTCTCTCTCTCTATGTCTCTTGACGCTTAATCGAGAACTCGAGGAATGCTCATCATTTGTTGTTCATAATTCAACTCAACGAATGCACAAAGCTTCTTTTTTTGTCTTTGCCGAATAGCACGCTATCATTAATGTCGTTAAAATAGATGATGACAAAAATTTTATAGAACTATTTTATCTTTCCTATAGTCAAGTGGATATTGTTGAAAGCAATTGTGGTGTGAAGATTACACCACAAATATATAAGATTTTATCTTCAAGTAAGTTATTTTATTTTAAAAATTATATATACATGTTCTTTTTTTGTCTTTTGTATATGTGCATTTTACCATGAGTGAAGAGAAAAGTTAATTGATGATAAATAATTGACTTTATCTTCTTTTTTAATAAAATTGAACGAGCTGTTACTGAGGATACAAGTTATGTACATAGAGAGAGATACAACACTATCATATTGTACATCGATGAGATATGATGAAGATCTTGTTTTTATATGAAAGAAAAACTATTGTCTAGATTGAATCTAATGATCATCATTATCATCATCATCATCATCATCATATTCAAATGTTTGAATGAAAAAATCGTAAGAGTAGACAAGAAATATATACAAAGAAAACGAGAAGTCCATTTGTATGAGTGTTGATTGATCATGTCTTTTGCTTGACTTATGTATATGTATGAGTTGCATCACATGGATGTCGTTAGAAGATTCAAGAGCACATGTATGCACATAAGATGAGCACGTGCATTATAATAGTTCAAACATTATACGAAACTGAATCCTATTCCGTCATTTTTCTTTCTGCTCTATTAGTGTTGATGTGATCTTGTATGTTATTCATCATCATTTATATCGATCTAATTCCAAATTCTTAACTTTGTCTTTGTAACTTGAATGGTAGAAGAATAAATTATTCTCTCTCTCTCTCTCTCTCTCTCTTTTGGTTTGTCTGACTTATTGAACAATCTTTTGTCTGCGTGAGTTATTGCGTCTATTCTCTTTTTATGTAATAAACCGTTCAAGTGCTTGTAGTCACTCAAAAGTTAACTTTCTCTTTATTTTTTTCTTTGTTCTCTATATTGTCTGTGCTTGTTGTCTATGAGAGAATACATGTAACAATGAGACAGACTGAACAGTTGTTCTTTCTCTTCTATTGTTGACATATGGCAAAAGCTACATAGAATCGAATTTCGTATAAACACACATCTACGTCAATTAATTGTTTAATGATTAGAAACAAAAAAAAATTGCACATGCATAGTATATATATATTAAAATGACTTAGTCTTATTCAATAAAATTCTAATCTATTTGACTATATTAAAAAAAAAAATTTTGACAAACGGAGACAAATTCGATATTAGAGTTAACGTTTATCCTCTCCTATTATATCGTATAGCTGAACAATAAATATGATTTTAATTGAGAAGAAAATGATGAAAAATCGAAATATATACATGTAGGCGTGTGTATGTGTATCGAACAAAAAGAAAAAGAGAAAGAACAATCTAAGTGACGTCTACTACTAAAAAGTTAATCACACCCGAGACATATATGAATGTCCCAAACGATTTGTATATGTATTATTACAGACGCAATGTGGCAGACGTTCATCGATAATAATGATCAACATCGCTATCAACTTGTCGTGTCGAAGATTTGCTGATTTTGTCGTTTTTTATTTGCTTTTATTACAATCATTATCATATTGTAGTAAGTAAAATTAGTCCTTATGGAAATGATAATCATTAGTTTTTGATAAATTTTAATAGCTAATGGTTCAACAACAACAAGAACAACAATGCATGCTATATGTGGTACTAATATTGAACTAACTTGTCCTATTCGTTCAATAAAACAATCTAATGAAGTGGTATGTCCTTGAGATAAATAGAAAATTGAATTTATTTATTTTTTTTGTCTCCGATTGAAAAATTCCCTAAAGAGAATAGAAACGATTTTTTAAAATTATCTCAGAAAAGTACAGTGTCGGCAGAATTCGAAATTTTTTCTTAAAGTCATGATTGGATAGAACTCGTCGAGTTACCTACAATAATTGAAATATGCAAAAAGTATCAGTATTTATTCGGAATTTGCTGATTTTAATATATATGACGAGTAAAATCATTAAAAAAAAAGATTTCGGATGAATATGCACGGAATTTAAATTTTAGATTTCATGGTTTCGTCCAAATTCATCTCATAGTCGTTTGTCATTTATTGCTATTGGTGATATACTTTTACCAGAATATGCAGCAAATGGTCGTTTTAATTTAATTTCATCATCATCATCAATTTCTCGTTTATTAATAAATAATATTTTAATTGAAGATCAAGGTTATTATACATGTAAATCAAGTACAAGTGGTCAACATAGTATTAAATTAATTGTTAATTGTATGTTTTTTTTTGTTTTCGAGAAAGAGCAAAGTTTTTTTTTTTGTCTAAATTAGCTCATCCATATCTTTCTCCATCATCACCAATTCTTCTTTATCCAGTCAATCGAACATTTACAATAACATGTTCACTTTTATGTGATCCATCAATCGAAATTCATAAATTAATGTGGCTTGTTAATGGACATTCACTAGATGAGGACAAACATAAATTTTTTATTGAAACAACATCATTTAATACACAACGTTTAACAGTTTTTTTAAATACAAAAAATAATCCTTTTAATCAAACGAATTATACATGTAGATATGATGGGAAAGAATCGTCAATATTAGTTAGACGACGAACTAGTAAGTATTAATATATTTTATTATTTCTTAATTCAGATTTTGAAATTTCAAGTTTTGTTATGATATTTACTTTGTATTACACTCTTGAAGTTTCCAATAGAAGTATTCAAATTAAACTTTTTTGTTTTGTATGCTACATCCTGTCCGAGGAAAATTTTCGAACCCAAGCATTAAGTGAATTTTTGTTGGGTAGTTTCCAGTGAATGATCTATATATATATAATCAATAATGTTATTAATTAAATTTTGTCGCTGTGTCATCATCTTTTTCATTGGATTCATTTTGATTTTCTTCAGCCAATTTCATGATTATATTTTGTTGTCACAAAAATGACTTTTCTTTAGTTATTTCGATATTTCCTATACTTTTAATCGTTTTACTCTGATTCTATTGTACTCTACAGGATATAGTAGAATAGCGGTACATAGACAGTTGAGACCTCCGATATTTGAGTCCCGACAGTTGAGCTTCGTAACATTTGAGCTTTGGAAGGTTGAGTCCCATATGAAGAGTGATCAGTTTACGTTTTTAAAAACTTATTAAATCCTGAAACGATTTTTAAAAAATCTAAATTTAAAATAAATTTAAATGTATTTTGAAATTGAATTAGTAAAAATTTAAATTCAAAATAAAATAAGAGGAAAATATTACCCATAACCCTAACTCCTACAGGCAGATCTGGTTGAAACTAAAATTATGGGTCAAGTATCTGCGGTGTGGACATAAATGAGAGGTGTGGTATTTGAGTGTAGAGTGTAAGTTACAGATATGTTCTTCTGATTCTCACTTATGAACATCCACATTCACACCTACACCAACACTTTCTTATTTTATTTTAAATTTAAATTTTTTAAAGATTGTTTCCGGATTTAATAAGTTTTTAAAAACGTAAATCGATCACCTTTGATACAAGGCTCAAGTGTCACGAAGCTCAAATGTTAAATGGCTCATCTGTAAAGGCTCAATTGTCCTGCTACCGTAGAATAACTCCGTTCGTAATGCAGTTTTGATTAATGTTTTTTTTGTTTGTCATTTTATAAATAATTATTCTAAAATTTCTTCATCTATGACTTATTGATAAGAATTATTATCTTTTTGATTCATATAAGATGTCTGGCTTTTTCTGCATTTGTAAGATAGTCTTTTGTTATTGAAATTTACCAGATTATCCAAGACATTTTTATTAGAATTAGTTTAGTAGTACTGCATCCTCGTACTGAAAAGATCAATGCATCACATTTCATATTGAAACGATAGATTTATTTCGATAGACTAATGCCAACAGTAAGAAATAAGCTTCTTTATCGTCATTGCATCTTTCTTAATTAAAGCTTATGATAAGCTAACATTAGACAATAGCTTAGAACAATGTCTCTGTGACATGTTGTCGTGTTGAGAAAATTTATTATGAAATTCATAAACGATTTATATCACTCAGAGTTTCTCTGTAGGATCTTTTCTGGCAATATTCCTGTACGTTTTTTTAATTATTATACACTAATATTAAACTTTTCAGAAGTATTCAATAATAAAAGTGTTCATCGACATGATGAGCATTTTATTGGATTTTGATCAGACAGAACATTCATATTTATATTTAAATTAGCAAAAACAAAATTTATTGATTAAAAGACAGAACTTATAGAATGATATAATATTATCTTTTGATCATCACAACTAGTTAACAAAATTCATTTTAATTGTTTTCTTCTCAACTTAAGTATATATTTATTAATTATTATCATCATTGTTTTTATTTTAGAAGAAGAACTACATCGTTTACCACGTCAAGAAGGTTCATCATCTGCTTATTTACTTCAAACAGCATATGATACAGGTCAAATACAATATCGTTCATTATATAAATATCTTCTAATATTTTTATTATTATTAAAACAAATGCATTGTGCAATATAATCGTTGACTTTTGTTATTGATTTTTGTTTTTTGTTTTTAGTATCCTATTTTAAATAAATTTAAATTGAATTTTGTGATGAAGAAAGAATATTTATTGTTGTTTGTAATATACGATAAGTCAATTCAGGATTATTTTCCATTAATGTTGTTGATCGATTATTGAGAATCATTTGAAGTTTTTTAATTGTTTCATCAAGTAAAATTTTCTTTTCATTATCACTTAATGAACCAGTATCATAAGAAATATCAATAAGATTTCTATTGGATGTATTAATATTCCAAACAAGTGTTTGACTTGATTGATATTGATGATTATTTAAAGCAAGTTGTTCATCAGACGATAAATCTAAATTAATTGTTATTTGATATGTATGATTTGAATGAAATTTTTCTTGTGAATTTTGTAAAATATCAAGTTCTTGTTGATGTTTTATTTTTGTACAATTCGAACAAAGTAAACGATGAGATCGTGTTGAAAAAAATGAACGTCCACGACGAGCTAATGGTAAAAATGAACGAGATGAAGTATTCGATCGAAGTAGACGACAACAATCATATTCTATTTAAAAATAAAATAAATTTACAAACTATAATACAATACGTCAAAGTAATATTTTGTGTTATGAAAAACAAAGAATAGATTAACTGATTGAAGAGTTCGAAGAAGAAATTTTTATTGAATATTCAATATCTCAGGATTAGAGATGTACGGAATCGAGATCAGTCCTACCAATCAGAACATAATTCAAGAGAGATGATCAGGAAAAGTGTTAGCTGTCGACTAAATACATTAAAGGACGAGTATTGAAGAATTCCTTTTAGATATGATACGAATAAGTTCTGGAATAGTTTTCTCTAGATCGGAACTGGAATTCGAAAAACTAAAATCATCAGGACTTAAAACATTTGATCCCACACACATCCATAGAGTTTTTTTTATAATGGAAGAATTTTTATAGAGAATCTTAATGTTGATATGCAGATGGTAATTTAGATCACATGTTATAGTGAAGTGTATTTTATGACTTATATGAAGCATCGCTGCAGCTAAAGAACATAATTTTGTAGAGGAAGAGAAGGGCTCTCATCTGAGAAAAAGGTACTTCGTAATGCAAAAATTTTGTACCCTATTCTGATTATTTTATCAATCTTTAGTAAATATTTTCAACTTACACTTTTATAATTTTTGTTAAAATAGTGGAGGATGAATGCATAGAAGAGCTACCCATATTTCTGGAAAAAATATATTTTCGCACTTTTCCAAGCGGATTAGGCGAAAAAAAATGAACAGAAAACAACTTTGACCGAGAAAAATGACCTATCAAGGCCTATGCTATTGAAGATTGAGCTTGTTTTCGAGGAACATCTAACTTTTAAACTTATATTCTGTAAGTAAATAGGGGAATACTACATCAGAACAACTTCCAAAGAGACTTCTTTTTCATTGAAGTATGAAATTTTCAAAGTACAGAGCCTTGTTGTAAAAAAAAAACAAGTGTATTTTGATTAAAATTACAGAATAGCATTATATCTGGAGAATCAAATATCTTGAGGTAACTTAATGAAAAAAGAACTCCCTGGAGATTGTGATAATGTAGCGATTCCCTAGTTATTTGTAGAATATAAGTTTCAAATTTTGTAATCAGATGATGGACCCTAGTTAGATATTCCTCGATAGCAAGATCAATCTTTAACATTATTGATAGGCCATTTTTCTCGACATTATATGATATTTATGCATTTCGAAGTATCATTTTTTTTACAGACAGTAGCTCATTTCTTTCTCTATCAAATTATGTTTGTCGACCAATTAATTATATATCAGTTTGTCATAGATAATATCAAAATAAGTTTTGTATTACAGTCTTTGAGTAAATAGAGGTTTCATAGTCCTCTGTTATAAATTTCATTGTCACTTGCATTCTGATACATTACAATAGTAATTCATAAACGGATAAAATTTTCTTCTTGATAATGAAAGTAATGTGATGGAGTTGTGTTACATTTTAACCTTGCTGAACGTTTTCTTTTTCTACTCATATTTTATCTTTCCTTTTTTTTTGATATCGAGTGTTTGCTTTTGATTATATAAAAAAATTTTGTATTATCGTTGGTAAAGATAGTCGTAAAGTAATTTACCTTGTTCATATAACATCGTTGAGATCTCATTATCGGAAGAAATTGTTTGTTGTGGAGATGCATTTGGATTAATTTTTAATGTAAATAATGCTTGATCGACATCAGTCGATGTTAATTTTCGACATAAATCGTCGAATTTTTCAGAATTTTTTATAGATAATTCCGACTTCGATATAATTAATTCATCATCATAATCTATTATATTGTAAAAGATAATAAAGAAAAACAAACAAATAATAATTATTAATCTTTACTGATATATGAATTGTCTTCGTTGCATTCACAAGCAGATTCTTTCATGATGTTTGTCTTGCACAATCTGTTCTCGTCTTTTTAACTTTATTGAAAGAGTAAGGAGAAGAAAAACGTAAGGTGAATTTCTTTCTTCTTTTTTTTTTGTTGTTGTCATATGAATTTATAGCTGGCAACGGTGATATGCATTTGATTATTCTTATGCAAACATACAATGATGTGAATGTGCGTCACTCTTTTCAAACATAAATACTCAATGTACGAAAGAAAAAAGTTTTTAAATGTTGTTGATTATATTAATTCTTTTATATTTTAATTATTGTAAGTGAGACTTTCATGAAAGAGAAAGTCAGTGTTTTTTCAACTAAATTGTGAGGATAAAAATATGCACAATGTATTTTATCGAATTCATTTTTGTTTTTTTTTGGTCATATGAAATCTTATACAAGATATTTTATATAAAATTTATCGTGTTTTTATTTCGACATAGCTATTCGATAAAATTTTCGAATAGTTGAGTTCTGTTATTTGAATATTATGATAGTTCTAATGATATTTCTATTTAGATAAATGAATGAACAATTCTTGTAAAGTTTCATCTACTGTTATTCTCGTTTTAAAAACTAGTTGTTATCAACGAAATATAGAAATCAAATGATTCGAAGAAATGCAGAATTTTTTGAATAGTAAAATTTATTTCAGAAATAAACAATTTTAAATTCTAGGAAAGTCAGAATTCTACTTATTGAACATAAGAAGTACATTCATCATTTATCTCATGAAATCAATAGCAATCTTATTGCTATTTCTTTTATGAACTAAAGTCCTGCAATCGAATCAGTCCCCAAGCTTGGATATAAGTTCTCGGATCAGTTCGAGTACTAAAACATGAATAAAACTGCTAGATCGGCTTTGCTTATAATCGCCTATCTGTAAGGAACTGTGGGTTCATGTTTTTGTAGTACCGGACCTAGCCGAATACAGACATGAATTCTTTGTCACTGATATCTTGCATACGTTGTTTACATGGCTAAATGAAAGATCAAGATGGCAACTATTTATCGCCTTCACTTGGCAAGCAATCTAACTAAAATTGAACTGCAGCTGAAATGTTGTACCTGAGTAAGCTGATGTCAGTTCTTCTTTATTTGAATTCGAAACTGAATACACATTGGATGCGAAATTAAATCTGGATATGGACCTGAACGCGAGCCCGGCAAGGTCAGGTCCACATTCGGTTTTGGAAGATCCTCAGCTCTCTACCAAACTGATGATACCCAGTAGCTGAATACATCACGATAATCAACGATTCAGTTAATTGTTCGAAACTATTACGTATTTATATATCAAGGTGAAAAAAATCGATCAGATCTTAATAAATTGGTACACTCAAAAACAAGCTAACACAATTAAAATGAGAAACTGTTTTTACTATTGACTGACGAGGAAGAGTCTCCACGTGTGAATCACCATTTCGAATGGAAGATATCCCAGATTATAGAGCTCGATGAACTGATTCTCGTGGTATGGTTCATTTTTCTCGATAGAACTTCAAATGTGAAAAACTGATCGATTTTACTAGTGAATTTCTACATTTTTCATAAGTTTCGAGACAGTTGTTAGAAATTTAGAACTTCAAAGGTACTTAATTTTTAGATGGTCATGTTATAGAATAGAGAATCCCACATGTGATGATCTATTTTTATATTATTTTAAGAGTAAGTTCAGCTTCATCTTCTGAATATATAACAACATTTTCTCTCGAGAGCGCTCAAATACCGTCAAGTGTAATAAATCAACAATTAAAATTCATAGCAGTGGTGAAAATAAGTTTTACAAGAAAATACTGTTCCCCGATTCTTTGAAAATAATATAAAAATATATCATCGCATGTGGCATTCTCTATTCTATAACACAGGGGCGGATCCAGGATTTTAGAAAGGGGGTGTCGGTTTCTAAATAATATCAGCCGAGGTTGTATGAATTTTTATGGAAACAGGTACAGTAGTGTTCTCATTTTCTCACAATTCTTTATTTCCGTTTTGTATAGTAAATCTATAAATTCATGAGAAAAAATAAGCTTTTTTATGAGACAAATTTTAGCAGTGGATTCTAAAAAAACCAATC